GTGGTAGCTTATTAATTAAACTCGAGGTGTCCGATGGCGTCGGAGTCTCAGCGGGTCACTGGCGGCATAGCGGTTCACACAACCGCTATTGTCACTAAGCACAAAAACTCATAGTAACCGAAGTACTGGCCACCATAAGAAGGAGAGTACCACGCCGGCAGTGCATATTTACTTTTTTGTAATTAACAGTTGGGATATGAATAGTAATTGTAATAAAGGGCTGCATAAAATCATTTGCCGGTAAACAATATACGAGACGTTCGTTAACCCGGAAGGGTCATTTTATCTTATGTGTTACTGTCTGGTAACTCATTTTTATATTCACTCGATCTTCATATTTTTTTTATAACTTCACCGCAGATGATGATTTTTACGCGCACATTATTCGAACGCACGTTGTTCATTATCTATGTAAGTGGCAATGTGATCGACGGTTAGACGAAACCTTAGGGGGAAGAAGTTATTGTTGTCGGTTAAGGCGTGTGAGTGTTACTGTTGGTTGTTAAAATGACCGCGTGGGCGACCCATCAGACAATTGTGTATTTACTTTTTATTTCTGAATCTTGTAACATTGACCGTAAATAAAAGTAAGCGATAACAATTTTATACTCCTGCTACAAAAATGCACAAGAATAGAAATAAATATAAAAATATATTTACTACCAATAAACAATATAATTTTTTATATTCACGCTCAAAAATAATTTTAAAATTAAACGTTATGTTTAAAACTTACAGTAATTTCACATGAATATTTCTAATCTTATATTATGAAGATACATGTAAATTCTTAAGATTACCTATCGGTAATGTATTTTTATATAACACCTATTTCAATATAATTTTGTCATGTTAACCCATTTTTTGATTATCACGGTTACTATATTCTATATATATATATATTGATCTAGGAACAATTGCGACGCATTCAGACATAAAAAAAAAAAGTAGTAAAAATAGTATTTAGGTCTATAAGGCACGGATCACGGTCAAGGATAAATATTCTTTTCAACTTATTGAAAGTTGAATGTCCTTCGTAAAAATACTATGAAAAGAACGTACCATTGTAACGGAATTTTGTTTTATTTGAAATATATTTTTGAAAGAGCAGACTATTTTAAGTGTGGACATAAAAATAAAAAGTACTTTTAAAAAGCATGTTAAAGATTATTTATTAGAAAGCTGCAATCTAATAGATAACGGAGCATAGAAGTTTCTTATTTATTTTCAGTAACTATTACATTTTCGGAAATTTATATAAAAAATAACAGGTTTTTGTACCTTATTAAATTTATTAAACAATTTTTAAAGTTTTCTCCTTTAACATTACAATTAAATGGCAATTTCATTTCGATAATTAATTTTTTAGCGGAAATTTAATTGATAATTCGTAGCAATAGCAATGTCGGTATGATGACGATTTAAAAAAATAACAACTTAATGTATCATTTTAATTAAAATATTTTCCTTATGTTGTTGGTTAACAGACCGCGAATGTTGTGACCTATTATTAAATTACGACTTAACATATTATTTTTATTACAATAATAATTATATTGTAATCATAATGACAACGACCGCGATGACAATAATTGCTGTCACAAAAATTATTTTTACAAAAGGAACGTTGACCTTTTTCCGGTTTAACGTTGTTCATCACAAAATACAAAGATTGCTTATCCTTCAAATAAACAATTATAGATCTAACGTGTAGATTTAACTCATTTTAGCACATATTTAGAGAATTTCAGAGAGTATTCGTGTGTTACAAAATTTGAATATCATGCAATTTCGAAAATGACAGAGTATTAAAAAGGTTGTATGATACAATGTTAGTGAATTGCTTGGATACTACCTAATGGAAGAATAGTTTTTCCAAGTCTGTAAATTGTATGGCCGTATTTATATATATTCATAACTAAAATATTGTATTTTTTTAGGACAAGGTTACAGGTGACACAATTCTACAATAATATCGATAACTAATTTCTATACCTGGTGCGCAGATTGCAATGTGGTGATTACTATAATGTCTAATATTTATTAAACTATTAGGAAACGTTATAACATTTTAAAAATATTTATAGAAATGATCATTAGTTAACAGACATAGCAGACGTATTAATTAAGATAAAAGTATAGCGAAACTAATCGTATTTTTTCATTTCAACTAAATTATTGAATTTTATTTAGAATTAGAAATTCTCATTATTTAATGTATTTTCTTATTAAGTTTTTGTATCAATGAGCTCTACTCGATCGTGTGTTTTAATTTTTGGCTGTGGCAATGTTTCCATCTGTTGTTTGCGGTTCAAACATTTTCCTTTTAACCAATAAAAACAAGAGCGATAAAATTTCCGCCAACACTTTCATTTGTACTAAAAATAGTACGTGCTCTGTGTTTGATCGATAGGGAAGTGTCGTATGAATTATCACGTAGTATTTTTCGTCCATTGTAAATCTACTTAAGCAATACTTCCATATAAGCATGTAATTAATTAGAACTGATTTTTACGAGTGATCGAAACAATGCTCACTCATGTAATTTGTGTTTCATGTCATAGTGTCTGTATCGTTAGTTAGGTTTAGTTCAAACAATATGTTCGAGAGTAGTCAAGTGGTTCAATATAATTAAAATTTTGATACAAAGAAAGTAAAAATTAACACTACGAAATGTTAATTTAAAGGAATATGCAATTTTTTTTCGGATTTTATCTAAAATCAAACTTAAACTTCACTTGTTAGTAATTAAATTTTTCAAAGTATTTCATTTACTTCTTCAGTTTCATCCGTTTTTATTTTTTTATTAGTAGTCATTAGTTAGAGTGAACTTGAAGAACTACGTAAATTGTTTAGACACATGACACTCTTACTATATAAAGTAGTTTCATATAACAAAAATAATATGATTTTTTATTACTATGCTTATCATACGAATAAATCAATCATACTTTTTGAGTTTATGATCACAGTTTGATATCTGCCGTTGTTCGACTATTACGGGAGATTCCTTAAATCAAAACATATCATATACATATATACATAATAAAATACATTATTGTCATTAATTTCCATTTCACGAGATAAATAAATCGTTTAATGCCGACTGATGTAATGCTATTACGAAAACATACGAATCAACTGTTTGTCGGGATCCACTAATTAATAGTCGGGCTAAAGCGACACGGTATTGTAACTTTATCCGATTTTCGTTTTCATAAATCAATGTTGTAACTTACATATATAATGTAGTGTAAATTGACATTCAAAAATATAATATTTCCGGATAACCTTGACCATCTCTGAAAGTGAAATTGTAGAAAGAATAAATTGAAAATAAAACTGAACACGATTTTAGGATGACGCGACGGCCGCGGTTTAATTTTTCTAAGGCTGCAATGGACTCATCGTGAAGTTATTAATACTAAATTCCTACTAATCATTTATACATATATCATAAATATTTTACTCTGGTGCTTATTTCATCATTGATATAGGTATGTCGGGTATTTTTATCCTTAAATTCATCATAATCTTTGTGGTCGAATAAAAATTGAAATTAGTTTCTTCACTGCCTTGTCACTTTCTACTATGTATCATAAGATTTTCTTCGAATAATTAGTATAAAAGTTAATTTTCGTGTTTTAACAAATCATCCTACCTTGATTTATCCAATCCTGTTGGTTCGTTATTTCAATGAATATATTCAACGTACAAGAACTAATCATCGTATTATCATAATTTGAATAAACTTTTAGTAGTATTTTTTTTATCCGATGACATTCTTTTTTACTTTTATTGGAAAATATGTTACTGGAGTTGGCTGCTGACATAACACATTTTCCATGTTTCTTACTTGTCTGGCTGACAAAAGTGTAACGAATTTGGAATTATAATTTTAACCCAATTTATTATGAAATACTCCATCAACGTCCATGTTCATTATAAACAAGCTGTCGATGCTGTAATTTGAAATTTACTAGTTTGAATATATTTGTACCGCGTGCGTATCTGATGCATTAGGTTTATTATAATATTACTTGAAATAATATTATCACACATCCACTGTATTATTATAATAGCCGCAGATCTGCATATTTCACGGCGCTAGTGTTCGCACGTACACTCGAATCAATTGCATATGTTTTGCATTCGATTCGATTAAACCCCTGGCAAGTGCTCCCGTGGAGTTTTCGTGTCTCTGATAAGACCGAGAATAATAAAAATACACAATATTTGCACGCAACTTGGCTTGATTCTACCTCGAAGGCCGAGTCGGAATATGATAATGTTGTTAATTATTATTGGTATTTGCCCATCTGTCCGGTTGCTGAAGAAATGTACAAAGACATCATAATTGTTTATAAATAATGTTGTCGTAAAAAGTTTGCTGGAATCACATTCATGGCTCTATTGGTTAATTATGAAGTAATGGATGTTGTTAAGTGTCACTAAAAAAAGGTAGTGTTATTAGTTTTACCCTAGACACTTGTTAAATGAAAAGGGTTATGAATTATTAAGCATAAATAATGTTGTTTTAATTTATTACAAATATCGTCCCTTTGTTTTTACGCTTGTTACCATGAAATATTTATGTCTACTGTAGGTAATATAATATTAACGAATTACAATTATATTCTTCTTGTAACGTCCATTGCATTTAATTGCGTTGCTATTTTTCTTCAATTATCGACGACGGACTAATTTATTACTTTCAGTTAATTTGATTTTGAAGTCTTAACCGTAATTCGACTTTTTATTGTTCAAACAATTTGCAAAAGGGTATATTTTAATAAAAATATATAAATCAATTTTTTTATCTTGAGTAAAATTATAATATTTTGTCACTATTTAAAAACGAACCAATTTTTATAACCATGAAATTAGAATAAGTTCATTAGTCATAAAATTAATTCATCATGTTTCTATGAATTCAATTAAAAATATTTTTAGGATTTCATTAAACATATAACTCATGAAATTTTGTCTTATTTTTACAGACACTATGAGTAGAAAACGGTGATATGGAGGCAGCTGCTAGTGTGGTTCAAATGACTGGGGGTGGTAGTAGGATGGGCATGAACTCGGATATGTTCTTGTTACCGTCCAGCCCTTTTACTCCATCTCCGGGTTCTGGAATAATTACTACAGGGTCCCCTACCTCGGGAGTCCAATATGCTGCAGCCACACTCACTGTGTTGCGACGAGACGCCTGGGTTTTGCCGGTACTTGTATTATCTGTACTTACCATGACCTTAATATTAACATTTGAGGTAATTTTTGTATACTTAAATATTTAAAATAGATATATAAAATATAATTTATTTTGAAAATATCTTCGATTTAATGACTTTGAAACCTATATTAATTTCATTACAGATATTCGTTCTATGCAAAACTAGGAAAACAGAACCTAGTAGAAGACATTTATTTTTGGGACAAGCATTACTCGGTGGTCTGTTCATGTGTGCAGCCGTTAGTGGACTTATGTGCACACAACCAACAGTTTTAACTTGTGCCACCGTAAGGCTGTGCACGGGACTTGGTTACTCAATGGTATTCGGCACATTACTTGTCAAATGTGTTTTCCTCATAAGTCTTAATGGAGGTGTTTATCTACCCGCACCGTATCAGGCTCTTTTATTATTCTTCACGGTTGCCATACAACTAGCTATTGGCACTCAATGGCTCATATTTTCACCTCCTCAGTTAGTGCCTTCACAAGTAAGTGTCATAAATACATTATTGTTTTAAATGCTAATTAAACATTTCTTTGAAAAATTTGATTTTCTGTTCATTATAACTCAAGTAAAATATGTGACACACTTAAAAGATAAAGATATACACAAAAAAAAAATATATATCGTTTTAATTGTTGTAAGTTTTTTGTGTTTCTTGTCATAAAATCTCAACTCCAACTTTAACGATACGCCAAAAGTTAACGATCAAGTCTAGATCTTCTTAAATGAAAAATTATGAAAAATAATTACTTTTTGATCTAAAATAAGTCAATACGAAAAAATAAATTATTTATGATTAGTTTAAAATTAATATTATCCGTTTGGCTATAATTAATTAAATTTAAAATAATCATTTATCAGTAGCAACTTCCAAATTTATTAAAAGAAACCAAGTTTAACGTCAAAAATGGGAAAAGAACTCGCACACGCATTAAATAATTCTCCTGTCCTGATTTTCCTTAATCAACAAACTAATACATCTGCAAAGAAAGTGCTTTCCGCGACGCCACATTGCTCACTCACCGTCAAATTCTTAGTTTACACGGGCGATGCTTCAGAGCATCTACATCCCATCATATCATTAAGTGGGTCATGTGGAAGAGCGTTAAAAAAAAAAAAAATTGCCTATACAGACAGTGCGTAAGATTTTGTAATGTCCGGGAAAAACTCTAATATTTATTACCCGTGTTTTTTTTTTTAGATTTTCACTAACTTTTATTTAAATAATAGAAATATTAGGTGATTTATCATATCTGATAAATAGTTAAATAAATAGAAATAATAATTTTTCAAAACATTTTTGTTACAAAAGTACTATTTTATTCATCACAGTGGGCGACCAGCTTAGATAACAGTTGTGACACGAAGTATCAACATATGTTGGGTTCAATGGTATATCCAGCAACGTTATTGTTCGCCGTCATCGTGTTGGCTGTCAAATCAAGACATATACGTGACAATTACCGAGAAGCTATGTACATTGGATTAGCCGTTGGATGTACCACTCCGTTGTGCGTTGGTTGGGCATTAGCAGGGCTTTGGGCCACACAGCCGGGCGACCAAGACGGTTGTTTGGCCCTTGGCCTTGGCGCCACGGCCGCCTTAGTTTTGCTGGTCATGTTCATGCCCAAAGGCCGACAGTTGGCGGCTATGGGGCGGGATGGACTTTATGACGAGGACAAACTGAGCACAATGAGTCGACCAGCGTCTCCATCGTTTTTCCATTTCAAACCTTTCATGACTCCGGTGAAACATACATCGACAATCAACACTTTTGGAGGTAATTTTCATTGACAAATTTAAAAAGCATCGTTCCCGTCAGCGACTTTTATTTGATAGTCTAAACCAATAGTTTTAAATATTTTTTATTAGTTGCTAACTCTAAATATGAATTACGTGCATAGGCACATTTTTTGTTTACCGTTGTAACTCTTGTCGTATTTGTCTGCTATGTTTATTCAGGACTAGAATCTTTGTTATTAAGTTGCTTAAATTACTCACGCTATTAAGAACTACATAGTGTTTAAAGACACAACGCTTATCGGCTGTAAAGAAATTATTGTTTGAACTTAAGAAGACCCGTAGACAATCAGTCGGGTTTTTCGTAATCGTTGTAGTCTATAGTTGTGTAACAGCTAGTTTAAAAGAACATCACTTCAAAGTTTTTTTTTAAGGATAGGTGAAGACTACAAATTTGATTAACGTTGCGTGATCTTCTTTATGACGGAATATTTTCTCTGAGAAATCGAACATTCAAAAAATGTTAGATTTTTTATCTGTTTCAACTGCATATTTTAATAGTTGTTTAATAGTTTAGCCTTAAGTATATATTTTACTCCATTGCCAAGATTGTTACCTAAGAATTATTTTACTATGCTTAATTTTTCACTGTACTGTTTGTTTCTTATATATTTAATTTTCAAGTTTAAACCAATGTGTTGTAACTGTACTCTTGTTTTCCCTAATACATTTTTAACGATTTTATTAATTTGACACTTCATTCCGAGATTATTTAGTTAATGCGGTATAAATTTAAATTATATATTTTACTTGTAAACAGATGACAGTTATGTTTTGATAATTCACGTTAATACGTAGTTATCTACACCATAACAAGTTGTCATTACTTATGTTGTAGCAGTAAATAAAAAAACCAAAGTTTTTAGGAGATATAGGTATTTAGAAAATAAATAATTAGTCATATTTAATTGATTATTATTGTGAATAATGATAAAAAAATGTACATAATACATTTTACTTTTGCGATAAGCTTAATTGTCATTTTATTTTTTCTTATTTAATTAAAATAAAGAAAAAAAGTGTTAATATGTGTACAGCTGAGAAATTTTATAACGAAAAAATATTTTGGGATAAATTTGTCTGAAAACAAATATTAGTATATGCGTAGGTAACGCGATATTTTTTTAAAACTGATTAAGAGCACAATTCTTTATCGCCAAAATATTTGAGTTAATATTACATTTAGACGATTTCATAAATGAGAATAAAGTGATTTGAATTGGTTGATGGAAAGAAAAGTGTATTTTGCTCTGAAATTACTTACTAATGAGTTTTTCGTTTACTGGAACGCTCTTACGTTTTCATGTGTCATGTCGTTAAAAGTTTAACTGATGACAGTGACGAATTAGAAACACTAACTATGGCTCCTGTACACTCACCTTACCAATACAACAAGTTAATTATTTTATATGTAACCGAAGTTCTAACACTATTTAATATTTTTAACGTCAAACCTATTTTATCCTCATATATATATTTTAATTTCGATGACTTCAGTTGTCTAGAATTCATGTGTGCAATTTGTTTTAAAATAGTAATAGTTTTTACTTAATTGCAGATCGAGTAGCACTTGTTGCACCACCTACGTACCCTCACCATTATTATCCTTATTGTTACTATCCTCATCATGGAGGTGGCGGAAATGCCCACCAACAGTATACTAGATGTCCACCAGGTAAAAATACAATTAGTGAATGTTATATATTACTGTAATAATCTAAATGTGTTTTAGACATGTGCAATTTTGCGGGAATGGATAACAGTATATACACAACGATGGAACCAACCATGTCTAACAACCCCAATGTTTTTTTCCACCGTTCTGGAATCCATCCAGGCATGATGTACTGATTAATTTTTTAAGAGAATTCTTTTCATTCATATGTGAACTACTATTATTCGTTAAATTTACTATAATTATTAGTGTTAAATTCTACAAAAACCATCAAAAAATAAAGTGTACCTTTTTTTTTAAACATTTACCAATGTACAAAATTCGAATGAATATCTAACCTATTAATAATATAATATACCTATATCTGGATCTCAAATCAAATAATTTTCTTCGTACGATTTCCTTTACGAAAATTATCTCTTATAAAAAATTGTTTACCATCATGTGGTTTCTAATGTAAATATCTTTTAACCATTGAAATTAACTTACCATGTGTAAGAATATTTTATCGACAAATAAATTTTATGGATTAAAATTGTTGCCATTGTTTTAGATTTATATTGTAACAATATTAGTATTACTTTCATAAGCTAAGTATAATATTAGTATTGTACATTATATTGTTTTAATTATATTATTAGTTGTAATATTAACCCTTAAATGTATTGTATTTTCAACCAGTGCCGTAGTTAAGAATACATTTGGGATACTTACCCATCCCTACATTTATTTAAACATAGGTTTACTATCATACAAAAAGGCTTAAAATTTTTAATGTTTGTACATTTTTGGATTATTTCCTCAGTATAGTATTTTAATTATATAAATAGATTTAATTAGTTGAGTATCTACTTATTAGATATCTCTATAAAAATTTCTGAGTAATATTTAAAAAACATTTGATTGATTATATAGACTTTAACATAAAATATTGCTAATTATGATCAATGAGTAAATAAGTATTTCAAGTAATTATCTATTAGAAATATTTTTGATAAAGTTGACTTAACAATAATTTTATATTTTAATTTACATGGATTTCTTTTTTAATAATATAATTTCGATCAAATTTATTCTTTTTTTGTAAATTTTTTTTTAAACATGATAATTTAAATTTCAATTATTTGTGAAATGCTTTTTAAACCAAATCAAAATTTATTCAGTTCCAAATTTATTATATACGTCAACTTTTACAAAAAAAAAAAAACATTTCAGGTAAATTACTATTTTGAAGAACTTCATTAATACAGTTAAACTCATTATCATTGTATTCAAAGTTTTAAAAATAATGTTCAATCATAAAATTTTACGTGTTATACTAATACAACATTTTTTAAAGTATATTCATAAAAATGATAATTTATATATTATGTTCTACTGTAATAATTTGTTAAGTAACTTCAAGCTAAATGATTGTTCATTTAAAAAAGTATTAATTACTTCTATTGTAGGTTAAATTTTTTATTCTTTATTTGATAATTGCAGTTATTATTTTCAAGAGTAAAATAAATTTAGTTTTATTTGTATAATGTTTTGATATTTTTTGTAAGCTAGATTTAGAGTATTTTTTTTTTTTAATAAATACCTCAAATAAATTTATGATAAATTATTACTTACTGAACAAGATACTTAAGAACATTTTAAAATTCAATTAGTTAAAGTTGCTCATATGGTGTATAAAAAAACTTTAAACAAAAAAATGAATTAAAGATTTCATTTAAGAATTTTTAGATTTTTGGTTTGTATGGTTGAGAAGTTGAGATGTGAGAAAAACATATATTAATAATGGGTTTGAAAATAAATTTGTTGTGATTTTATTTAAAAAATAGTTTACTATATCCCAATGAAATTGGTTTTTCAATATTGTTAAGTATTATATGTCATTACACATATATTTTTAGTCAAATAAAACTTCAAATCAGAACGTTTATGGGAAATCTTAGGACTAAATGCAAAAACCACAAAAGTCATTCATTTGACAATCAGACCTAAATAATAGTATTTAAACATTATGTTAATCTGTAAATATTAAGTGATTTTATAAGTAACTAACATTCAAGCATTCAAAGCATTCAATTAACAGAAAAAAAAAGTCATAAGAAATTATATGCAGGACTATAATTTTATAATCATAATTGAGTTATAAATTATAATAATTTATGATTGAATTATAAGACTTTATATTTTATTTTTTAATATCTAGGTTAACATATAATTTACAAAAATATTAAAATAGTTTTCATATAAATAAATATGGTTCCAATATAAAAATATTACTTATTATTTTAATGATAAAAGTTTTATTTATGAAAGTATTTTTTAACATACCTATTAACATTAGATAAATAAGTACACTAATGTACACAGAAAATTAACTTCAACTATCAACCCATGTAGTACTTATAAGTCCTTACAAGAAATATTATTATAACAGCAGTTTACACATGTTTGTACAATATTTAAGTATTTCAAGAAGTTTAAGAATAACAGACTTCCTTTTTATTCTATTAAATATTGTTAAGGTAGTTTGTCAGCAGTAGTATAGCAATGTTTGTTCGGTTTTAAATAAGTATTTTCATGTTGTACACTTTGAGAACTTGTTCGGCATTTAGCTAAGCACAGTTCAAAATGGTCATTAATTGCAGCAAATAATATACGAAATGTTTCTGAAGCCTTTCCTAACACTTTTTGCAACAATTTTTTCTATAAAAAATTAAATGACAATTTAATAATATCTTCTGAACAGTTTAAATTATTTAAATACTTTTTGTGGATCAAGACAACATGAAACACAATGTTCATATACCATGCAACAGCCATCTGTATTGCAAGATTCACATAAATAGCGTTTTTCAGTAATTCCACAACAGTTATTAGCTAAGAGATCATTTCTTTGGCAAATATAACCTAAAACATAAATATAAATCTTAAATCTAATACAAAATTACTGAAAATGATACGAGTCAAAATCATTTATTTTTTATAAAATATTATTTCTTTATAATGTATTGCAAAATTACTAATTACGTTTACACTAGATTACACAAATTTTTAGAAATTGATTTTTTTATATGCAAAATTTTAAATGTATTTTAAAAAATTATATACATAATAAATTATTTAATCTGATAATTTATTTATTTTTAACTATAAATAAATAAATAAAAAAAAAAAAAATTATAACAACAATAAAACAATTTGGATTACCCCTGTCATCTGCAACTAATTCTTTGCCTTGAACAGTGTTCCTGCAATTTTTTCGTAAGGTGTTGTTCCATTCTCCTTCTGAAGAAATCCACACAAAAGAACTGTGATCCAGTTTGTGAGGTAATTTCCATGTATCAAACGTTTTCGGAGACTATTAAATGTTTAATTTACTTAAAATATTAGTTAAAAACTCAGGCTGGTACTAATCTAACACAAATTATGCTGGATATAAATGACAAAATACCAAGTAAAACAAAATATTCCAATTTCATCACACATCAAATATAATTATATACTAATAAAAACCCTAAAGAGGTAGTAAACTACTTTGTTTTGAAGGCTTTCCCTAACTCCGGTACAATATAAGACAAAATAGTCTAACTGATTAATAGAATTAAATGTACAATACATAATCATAATTCTAGTGGGAAATAATATAATATGAACATGAATAAAATTTATGATACATTAAAAATAAATTATTTTACTTATTATTTTATGAATATTTTAAAACCTATGGGATAGTAATATCTTAGAATATTTATGCTTTATACACATTATTTGGACAAGTTCTCCAAATAAATATAATAATACTGTAGATAGGCCATGTTTATAATTTAGATTTAAATATGATTTTTTACAGTAAGCATCAATATTTGATTGACATTATTCCAAATTACAATATTAGAAATGTACAGTATTAGTAATTCAAATTTATAAATAAATACCTTTATAATTTGTATACTTACAATTAAAAGAAAACTAACAATACAATATGTAAGTGAACATCCAAATATCAAGGATAAAACGACTTTTCTTCGTATGAAACTGAATAGAAAATCTTTCCACATGACAGACAAAAAACATTAGACATTTTTAAATACAGCAATATATTTAAAACAATTAAGATAATTTCAACAATTGATTCATAATGACAATTTTTAATTATAAGTTACAGAAAAACAATTACATTTTTTTAAACGATTAATCATTAAAATATAAACATGTTTAAAATTAATAATATTCAATTGTCTACAATGCTATTTTTATTAATTAAACTCTATTGTATATAAATAAAAAAATTAAGTAGGAAGACGTAATTTTATTCGAATGTTTAATTTATAATCAATTACAATGATAACGTTATCTTGTTATCACCTTCATACTTCATAGTGACTGAAAATTTGTAATAGAGGTTACAAAGATATAGATAATACACTAATATTTATAAGTTAATAATAATAATAACAATTTTATTATTATCTATATCAAGTAGAGGTACATGTACACGGAATTTTAACTAATTAAATTTATTTTATTAAAGAAATATGAAATCAAATAAAGTTTGAATATATTATATTGATAGAGAAAATATTTAATTATTAGTTACACTTTAAACCGCGTAATCTGGTTGTTAAAATATCGAAAAATTGACAATAAGTTAAAATATTTAGTATCCGGTTAAAATAATTGTTTTATTTTTTAAATGATTTAAGCCATTTGCTGTTGTCTTAAAGACTAAAAGTCAAATGAATTACCGAAATCTATATAATTCATCCGATTATCAAAAGTTAAAAAATATAAAAGAGCATTGTTTGGAAAGATTAATGGCGCAACTACTGTCGGTATTATAGCACTCTCAGACTCAAGTACTTTCTATAAATATTTTAAATGTTTCCTGGATGAAAGATATGATTATAGTCAGGAAAATATGATATAACCAATATCAAGTAGTTCAAACTCAAAATAAGAAGGTCATGATCAACTGTATTATATGTTTTACTAAAGTCAACGAGACAACATCAACCTGACATTAATTTTATAGACTATAAGAAGTAAAAAATGTTTGGGGTATGTCAACTTTTAATAATAAACATTAAGCAATATTCTGTTGCTAATTTTTTATGAAATTCCGTGATATCGTTCATTACTTGTTCGACCAGTATTATGTAAACAATAATTAAATGATTACGTGTCTTAAGAATGTCAGTGAATTTTTGCTTGGTTTAGTTAAAATGTATTGGTTTTTTTTTATTTTTAGAAGAGAACACTACATAACTTTTAAATTAAATTAAGAAAAATGTTAAATGAAAGTTCAGATAAATATGATTTGATATCATTTATGTCTCGGTTTTTAACATCTTTTTTTTTTTAGTTTAGTATTTAAAATTTTTAAAGTATTTCTTGAAGTCTGTTGCCACTTTTTCTCAGCTCTCACCGAACTGATTTCTTTCAACGATACGTCAAAAGATCACAAATCGTGTCTAGTCAAGGACATTACCCTCAAAAATTGAAAAAATTTAACTCGTTCCCCGTAAATTGAGAAATCTCCAAAAAAATTACAAATTAAAAATTTGCTAATATTCGACATTTTTTCAATTTTTTTTACTTAAAACTGCCATAATTTTTTTATAGCAGTGCTGCCATTAACTGTGCTGGGTTTTTTTCTTTTGTTATTAACAATTATAAGACATTAACGATTTTTTTGTCACTATCACCATAGATTAAATACACATAGATAAGCCAGACCGTATAAATTTTTATCTTGAATAGACGCATGCGATTATGCTGATCAGTAGCATAAATTTTGAGTGCTCTTATATACGTGTATTGTTTAACAGTTATTGTTATATGACCCAATTACACTTTATTAAATTATTAAAGATTTTTTACGATTTTAACTTTTTGTAATTTTAGCTTCGATGCGAAGCTGAGAAGGTATTAAATTTATTATGATGTGTTTTTTTTTTGTGTCTGTTACCACTTTTTCTCAGCTCTCGCCAAACCGATTTCTTTCAACGATACGTAAAAAGATCACAAATCGTATCTAGTTAAAGACATTACCCTCAAAAATTGAAAACATTTCCCTCGATCCCCATAATCTCCAAAAAAATTACAAATTTAAATATCGCTAATTTTTGACATTTTTTCAATTTTTTTACCTAAAACTGTCATAAATTTTTAAAAAATTACCAAATCAATATATATATATATATATTGATAATACATATATTTTTATATCCATGAGATATTTACTTATCATTTTTTATAAATTTGACTCTTTATCTGCATAAAAGGGGGGATTTAAAATGACAATTTTTTTACAAAGAATTTACTTTTGAATTTGTTACGGAAATACTGACACGTTTATATAAATCTTAAATTGAAGCTTATGTAATATAATTTAATATAAAAAAAAAAAATTTCGGACTTTATTTTGTCTTCATAGTGATAATGGTTACTGTATTCAAAAATATGCTACTTTTGTGTTGAAATTCTCGATTTTTAGTTTATATTTTAACCCTCAAAAATTGTAAACATTTCCTTCGATCCCCATAATCCCCAAAAAAATTACAAATTTAAAAATGGCTAATTTTCGAAATTTTTTCAATTTTTTTTACTAAAAACTGCCATAACTTTTTTAAAAATAACCAAATCAATATTATTTTAATTTTTATAGATGCATGATATTATTTATTACCTCTCATTTGGTATATTTTTTTTATAAATCTGACCCTTTACCTGCCCATAGGGGGGGATTTAAAATGACAACTTTTTCACAAAAAATTAATTTTTTCTATTCGACTTTTGAAAATGTTCCGGAAAGTCTGACACTTTTATATATATATTAAATTGAAGCTAATGTAATGTACTTTATTATAGAAAAAAAATTTTCGGACTTCTTTTTTCTTAGCAATAATTTAATAAAAAGTTTAATTTTATGAAGTTATATATTTCATTATCGAATTAGGTATTATCAATAAACATTTTTTATGTTGTATTAAAAAAAAAATTAATCGTCTTACGATCTGAACTCCAACACATTTTTGTTGCCTAAACCGCAAAATCGTTTCTTTTTATAATACTGTATAATTGAATTTAAAATCTTAAGCAATTGGATATGAATATACATTTTACTAGGATCCGATTAAGGAGTGACACAGATGCCTCATCACAAATTGTGTAATGATTGGTGACATCAGTTTTCTGGTTTTTTTTTTGTTCATCACATTTTTATGACAGTGATATTTACAATAGAGGGTCCTTTCAAGGTACCGAAGTACCTCGGGCCCAAAGTCTAAATCTGAATCTACATTTTAATATTTCTGTTGAAATTCAAGTATGTCCTAGAAACGCCGAAGTATATTATTCACTTTGTACCTCATATGTAATATTACCATTAGTTGGATTATTTAGAATTTAAAATATGAATAATGAAAAACTATCTTTCATTATGTGATATTATACAAACAAGATGTTATACGAAACTTAATTAATGAAAATTCTAATCAATGAACTTTAATAATTTACGTTTTATTTTTGGTGACACAAAATGATCTGTCAGCTTTGTTTACTCCAAAAGTAATAATAGAATTCCAAGATTTTCAAGGCCACATGTATAGATCCCCTCTCCATGTTAGTCTCTTATTGTGTCGTGAAATGTGATTTGTGAACATGACCACACAGAATAATCATAAAACCAGTTGGAATGCTTGGGAGGAGTACTGTACACCTATTCCTTGCACGCCGGCAAGTTTAATCCAAATCGCGAGTTGTGTGTTAGTGTTTTGTGGAAGAAATTATAATAAATTATAATCCTTCATTATAAACTATAAATTGATATTTTATAATTTATATAATCAACGTAAAGCCTAATAACCAATTGACAACGCTTTCAACGTTTATTTATTGTATAATTTATATAAATCATATACCAAAAAAAAACAAAGGTAGGCAAATTAATCAAATTCAATAATAATTAAATAATTAGTAGTAAATTATGGTTATCCAAATATTTCATGTTAAATTTATAAACAACGTTTTACTATTTATGGAATAATGGAACCACTGATATTTGAAAATAAATACTAAAAGTTGAACTTAATTGTTAAATAGTTAATAAATAATAAGTATAAAAAAACCTTATCACATATTATTATACAATGTATTGAATTTGGTACATAAATTGTAAAATCGATAAAATTGAAATATTAGGTCAACTTTTTTATCACCGATTAACATAATAGAAAATATTTACATTTCTAAATTTACGGAACAATAATGTAATTATAAATGATATTCATACTATTGAAAAATTGTAAAATTCTCAAAAAATATACAAAAAATAATACGAATCTTTTTTTTTGTAAACAACTTTATTTTGAAGAATAGTTGACATCAATTATTTTGTGAATAGATTATTAAATCATCTATTTATAAATTAACGTATAACCTTCATCCTTAAAAAGAACTACAGTAAAAAAGTTACTGCGGATGAACTTTTTTTTTGTAATGATTAGTGGAATTTGATTAGCTTAAAATCATTATTCGCTTAGATGACAAAAAAGAATGTAATTATATAATACGTCAATTTCATAAGTATTGTGTAAGTCTCGATTTATTTAGCTACAACTGTCTTCATTTGTGTGGAGTACTGTCAAGATTCTTCAAATAATAAACTAGGAGTGTTTGTATAGTACAAAAATATTACAACTCATATTTTACATTTTGTCAATAATCATTCACCTTCCTTTTTCATTCACGAGAAACATCATACCAGCAAATAAAAATAAAAGAAGTATTAAAATGTAGGTTTTTAACATCAATTATTGTTTCAAATTTACATAAAATTATAATTTTTAAATGATATACCATTGTTACAAGATAGCAGTTTTTATATTCACTCAATCTCTAATTTATAGGAATAACCATATTTTTACGAAAAAATCTGTTTTTAATTAGAAAAAAAACATAATATTAATAATATTGTTATTTTATTATCACTCTCTTTATAATAGTATATAATAATATTGTAAGTGCAAAGAGTGACGGAAATTAATCAATTTATGTTTAAGCCATTTCAATTTTTAATAAAATATTTACAGATAACATTAAAAAAAATTTCAATGGTAAAATTATCATATTTTAAAATTTGGACCACTGTAAAGAATAAACAATACTCAAGTGTGTTTGGATAATTTTTGTTAATATATATAAACATTTAAAATGAATATTTCTAATAAAATTCCCAAATATTTCTTTGTAGTGGAATGAGGGAAAAGATTAATTTGATCCTTACATTATAAGGTTTAATGTACATAGCTACAGATTATTATTGATTAGTCACTCATAAAACTACTACAAATGTTTATCATTCTTATAAGAAATACTAATACGTTTCGATACAGAAGTAATTTACACTCATGTGCTATTATTTTATATACTAATTAACATAACTTCCACTTGAAATAATCTGCATAGGTAAACTATAAGTTGTAAAACAATGTAATCATCTATATATAATATGAGAAATACTCTTAAAAATGTTATTTGGCGTGTAATGTCAAGAAAGTTCAATAATTAGCGGTAATTATAATATATAATGGATTTTAGCAACATTTTCATTAGTGGTCTATTATTTATAATAATATACATTGTTGAATATTGAGAATAATACATATGGATTTTTTTTTCAGATTGGATTAAAGCTAATCAAGACATGGGCGTGTTATCCAGGTACTATATTTATTCGTATATCAAAACTATAATCGTTAATTTAATGAAATCAAATTGTGATATTGCATAATCAAAAGATTTTTTTATTATCTCTTATAAATAAAGGTGTTGGTCTACCGTAGCTTTTAGTTTTACTATCAGTTTGTCCGTGTAATGTGTTGATTGTGGCAAAATTTAGTTATGGACGATGCGACTTTATGTAATGAAAAAACGTCTCTGATATACAAAAAATCGTAATATATTTTTGTTATATTACAAGTTATTATTTATATTTGATTAGTGGCTACTTTATACCATTAATTTATAGTATTATAAATATAATAAGTTAACTTGAGTTGAGTTGCAATTTAATTATAATTATACTATAGGATGTATGGTTTAAAACAGAAAGATCAATGCGGCTATCAATATATATATGTATATATATATATATGTATTTTCCTTATATCTACAATTTATATATCAAGTTATAAAAATTTAAATTGTCAAATTTGGTGAATCTTGTTTTTTGATCTTATTATAAATAACTAAAGATATTTTTAACTAAATTTTTCTATAGATATGAAATCAATTTTTCACTCAGTAGATTTTATAAAATAAAATTACTTTAATTTATTTTAAATTGTTATAATTGTTTATATTGAACTAAAACCTAATGTTATATGAATATCGTTTTTATTAATAATTAGGATGACTAACACGTTAATAAGTAATAATCACAGCATGATTTGTATCCAGACCTAGATTTAGGGGGAGTCAATGTGGATCATTGCTCATGGGCTCACGAGATATAAGATCCTACAAAGAAAAAAGGATCTATTCTCGTGTTTAGCCTAATTAGTAGAAAAACTTCAAAGTTATAAAAAATTCAAGGATATATTACTATTATTAATTTTTTTTATATCATTTGTAATTTTTATTTTTGTTGTAAAAAAAAAACATTGTTTTATAAAAAAATACAAAATAACGTTTCTTGGAGCTTATCAAAATAGTATATCTATTGGGGTTCTGAGTCCTAAAATAAGGGTAATCCGGGCCTTATCATATTATCTTAAATTTTTATAGTGAATATTTTAATATGTTAACGAATCAGTACAACATAAATTATATAAAAAATGTTTTTTTTAGTCATAATATATATTTAAAAAACTTTTTAATTAGTATATAATGTTAAAAGACTGATCGCATATAAATATTTTTTAATCATTTTTAATTAACATGAGAGTATTAAGCAATATTTTTATGGGTACAATTAAAATTTAATAAGCACTTTAGATTGATAGAAATATGTAAATGGTGTCGTATAAAATCCAGACTATACTACTAGATTTGAATATATTTGAGCATTCAAAAGCGATATGACAAAAACGTATTGAAAAATAATGACATGTACCTTTTAATCTAGTGTACTGTTAGCAAATATAAAATTTTTATTTATAATGTTCCGAATTATTTCTTTATTGATAATATGTCATATATGTTTACGGTCTTCTTACTGAACTTTGAACAAGCTTCAAAATACATTGTAATTTATTTTACTTTGATTTCTTATACTATTAAAAATTTGCCACGATAATTTTCATCTTTAGAAAATCTCGATATAGTATGCCTAATTAATTGATAGTTTCATTATTTTATAATGATCATCTCAATAATATTTTTAAAAAATTATCTATTTACTATAATAAATTGTGTCTTATAAAAATAACTTTATGTAATTGTTTATGTCTATATATATAATTATGAAATCATGAACAACTTCTTACTTCTTGAAGGATCAGAAGTATATTAGATTGGAATAAATTCACTTATGTATATAACAATGTATATATATAAATATATATATATATATTGTAAGTAATTAAATAAAAAAATAATTAATAACAAGTTTAGATGATAATTGGCATTTCGTTCTCGTAGTTATAAGTTATTGGAATATTGATAACATATAAATTAGGGAGGAGGTTAGATACCATAAAAATTGTTTGCTATCCTTCAAAAATTCATAAAAAAATATATTCTTTAAGAAAATGTCATTTATTATTGAACCATATTTTTAACCCCCAAAATTTTTCATAAATTATCCATTTGTTGAAATAAATCAACCCAGCTGATACTATAATAGTTTTTCTACTAATGTTAAAGAACTGTAAAAATAAATAGTTAAAATATATATACTACAAGATAGTAGTAGATAAATATCAGTAATAATTTTTATTCACTAAATTTAATATTATCATAATATATTTGTTATTTTGTATTAATAGGATTACAATATTCTAATTAAAAAAATATTTTCAGATTGAATTCACGTCGTTGCAATATTTTGGCTGGTGTAGTAGCTTTGATTGTAGTAATTTCAATCCTTTTTGTGTTTTCTTTTGTTCATGATGATATTCCAAAAAGTTCAGAAATTTTAGATTCAGAATTTCCACTGCCACCGTCTATTATACCAATGGTTGTTTATGAGAACGCTGGTGTAGTATCTAACGGTGAACCTTGTGCTCAAATCGGAAAGTACATATTTATATCTTTATTTACAATTTAAATTTTTTGTTAATAAAAAATATTAATTATAATTTTTTTGTTAGCTACTTATATAATAATTCTTGTTAAAATCAAATTAAATTTTGAGGTATCTAGAAATAAATCTTATTTTTTTAATTTTTAAAAGATTATTTTTAAGGTAGAGGTAAGATCTTATTTGATTGGAAAAGTCCATAACAACTTTTGGATCACTATTATAGAAATTATTAACTAATACGATGGTACTCTTCCTTCCTAAATATAAACATGTCAATTAATTCCAAAATACTGGTCTAAATGTTGTTATTGACTATTGATTTTTTTAATTAAATAATTATCTAATAAATAAGCTAGTTAATTATGTGTGTTGAAATTTGATACATTAAAGTTCACACCCTTATAAGGTTTACGAACATAAAAAAATACTTCATGAATGATAAATTGAGAAAATTAATAAACTAAAATAAACCAAAAAAAGAAATTATTAATATTATTTTTATATTTTGATTTATTAAGTCGTTCGTGGTAAGTCAATCGTCTTGTATATATATTTGAGCCCCTATCAAAAAAGTGTTTTGGATACCCTCCCGGGTATAGATTTTTATATTATGAAAGGACGATTTAGTACATTTAGGTGATAAATAATTTTGTTTAGCCACTCTTAATACTTTTCGAGACTTGAACACCCTTAAAGTACAAACGTCTCTGAAATTTCCTTTTTTCCCAAAAATAACTCTGTTAGTTCATTAACGACTCAATATGGGCCATGTATTATCAAGGTCATAACAGTATATGACTTTGGCACTATTAAGAGTATGTTATAAGTTACACATAAGTGCTAAGATGGTTAAAAATATGTTTATCTTTCATTTTACATGTTACGGAGAGAGTAAATTATAAATAATAAATTTAATTGATTTTAATTTCGTTTCTTTTTTAAGTAAATGAATATATGTGTATATTATGCCTGTATTACGTATTTAATTATGACTTTCCTAGTCTATTTTTAATATATTACAGTAACAGATTTGATAACATATTATTAATTTTTATTTTTAACTTATTATCACCATTATTCTAATGTTTCTTGTTTATTTCGTATTGAAGAATAATTATTCTTTTATTAATTATAATTAATCGTTCATCGATATGTCATCATTTTACGCAGCACTGCGTTACAAAAATCCGAATTTTAACAATATGTTCAAAAATTATTTAATAGTTATGTACCTATTCTTTAGTCTAAATTTGTTAGAAATATGTTCTTATTTATAGAAATTATTCTGTAAATAAAACTTAAAAAGATAAGTATGATTTTAAAATTGAGGAGTTTAATATATATTTTTCTTTGAATTATCTTTTGGATTCAAATTTTCAAGTTAAATGCTAATACGAAAGTACAAATTTTTATAGAAACTGTTGAGAAAAACTCACACTCAGTGACATCGTAGCCGGCGGGGTGATTGTCCCTTTAGTCAAAAAACGGCTAGCAAAAGTATTATTTCGCGCACATCCCAATTAAATCTGTCAAATAATAATAATTTAAAAAAATGTATTGTTGATAATGATATGGGTTAATTTAAAAATATTTTCTTTAATAATTTGAATTAAAGATAATATTTTATTATTTATTTCAGATTTTGTGATAAAAACATATTAAAAAAAGCTTATTCCCTCTAATTTACTATATTAAAATTTCATTATATTCAGTGATTTCAAAAAAGTCATAGCATTTTTAAAATGTAGACAATTTTTTTTAAAGATGCCATTTTTTAAAGTAGAGTATTTTTAAGATTTTTTTTTTTTATTTATAGAATCGAAGGATTTTTCAAAATACTGAGAGGTTTGATTATATTAAATCGGGTTTTTTTGACGTATTGATAGTTAAAATCACTTAAGTGAGAGCTGAAAATTTTCATGGACTTATATAACACACCATGACAAAACCAATATATATATTCTTAACTTGGTATCGAAACTAAAAATTATAACTAATGTTATAAACTATATTTTAGTATGTTTTCAATGATTCTTAATAATATTATAAAAAATAACATGGATTATAAAGTTTTTGAACTACTGGATTTATTTTTATATGATCGCTAAATACCACAAATAGTAGTTTACCTGCTTTTCTAGTTTTATAACAATCAAGGGAAAAGTTTTTAGTTATTAAATCTTTGCGCCCCATGTAAAAAATAGTTTTGGCGCTCCTGTTAACAATTCTATTTAGTTTCACTTTAAGTTTGACATTTTTTTTTATGTTTGGTAATTTTTTTATTATTAAATTAGTTATTGTTTCATAGGGATATTTTAAAAAATGGAGGGAATGCTGTTGACTCTGTTATTGCAACATTAATATGTGATGGTGTATATTGTCCTGAATTAATGGGTTTAGGAGGAGGATTTTTGATGACATTATATAATGCCACTTCTAAAACAGCAATATCAATCAATGCAAGAGAATCGGCTCCAGCAAATGTAAATGAAACAATGTACATTAATGATCCGCATAAGTCTTTAATTGGTTAGTATTTATCTATTTTGATTAATTTACATAAAACACTAATGCAAGATGTTTTTAAAAATTTACTTATCATATTTTAATTTTTTCATTTTATACAAAATAAACTATTACTAAATAGATCTAACAGTTTGATATAATACACAGGAGGTTTAGCGGTTGCTATACCAGGGGAACTTAAAGGATATTGGGATGTGTATAATAAATATGGTAGCGGTAACATTAAATGGAAATCATTATTTGAGCCAACTATTAAAAAATGTGAAGAAGGTATTGTTGTTAGTCAACGTTTGGCGCTAATATTGGCACGATATGAAAGTATTGTGCAAAATTATACGGAACTTAGGTAAATTTTTAAATTATTAATTAATTTTGAAGTTTTATTAAAAAATTTATTTTATTTTAGGGATAAGTTTGTTGATAAAAATACCGGTCACGTAAAAAGGGCTGGAGACACTTACAAGTTACCAAAATTAGCAAAATCAATGAGAATTATAGCAGAAGAAGGAGGAAATGCATTATACAACGGGTCATTGACAGCCAAGTTTATAGAAGATATTGCAAATAACGGAGGAATTATTACAGCAGAAGATTTAGCAAATTACAAGTGAGTTTTATGAAAACAATTATTCAATGTACATAAAATTAATGAATGTATATAAAATTGAAATTAATTAGTAATATTCATGACTTAATTTTAGTAAAAATAGAACTATTTAAAACGAATTAAGATGAATTAATTTGGGCTAAATATTTGGGTAGAATTTTTGTATACAATTTGGAGCAGGACTAAAAAAAATCCTTTTTCTTGAGTAGTTTCAAAAGTTTTTCTTACTTCACTTACATGAACTTACCTCACAATTAGCAAAAAAAATGACCAAAAATATTTAAAAAATCGAGGGCCGTAAGAAAAGTCATCTATTTTTCATGTTTGGTGTTAAGTCACCCTAAGTCCCTCCAATTTTATGGCAGAAAATTTTGTAAATAGGAACCTGTAAAAATCAAAGAAAAAATTATTTTCAAGCATATTATACTTGCAGTTGTTTTTTTGAATTCCACATTAAAATCATTTTTAAAAAAATTACTTTTTTACTATTGATATTATTACGATTTGTTTATACTGCTCATTAGAAACAAGTAAAATATTTCATAGGTTCATTTAACAAAGAAATAAAATGTGACTTTAAAAATTAAGAGTGCGAGACATCTATAATCAATACAAGGGTCCTTACAAACTTGTTCATAATAAGTTTTAAAAGCCACTTTTATCAATATTAATTATATAATAATTTGTAGAGTCGAAATAGAAGAGACGTTCAACGTAACTATAAAAAACGGTTTTAAACTTTTTGCTGGACCACCTCCAGGTTCTGGTGTAGTGTTGGCTTATATTTTAAGAGTTCTTGATGGGAAGTTACCTGCATCCAACGATGGTTTGAATGCTCAACGGATAATAGAAGCTTTTAAATTTGCTTATGGTGAACGAACTCATTTAGGTGACAAAAATTTTGTGAATGTTACCGAAGTACATATTTATTTAGTTTTAATTATTGCTTAAAAAATTAAGATGTCAATTTTGTTAACAAAAATTTGTTTTCAGATTTTTGAAAAAATTAAATCAGACGAGTACATGAGTAAAATTAGAAACAAAATAAGCGATAATTTTACTTCATTAGATCCAAGGTATTATGGAGCTGATTTTGCAATACCTGCAGATCACGGTACAGCTAATGTTGTCGTTTTAGATAATTTTGGAAACGCGGCTGTTGCTACTAGCACTTTGAATACATAGTAATTATAAACAGCAATATGTTTAATTAATTAACTATCAAAATATTTTCTCAACAACGAAAATAATTTTTAAATATTTGCTAACTTGAACAATTTTATTTAGTTTTGGTTCTGGTGTTGTTTCTGAAAGTACAGGAATAATTTTAAATAATGAAATGGATGATTTTTCGACACCAGGAGTCAATAATTACTTTGGTATACCTCCATCACCAGCTAACTTTATAAAACCAGGAAAAAGACCAATGTCGTCGATGTGTCCTGCAGTAATAACAGATGACAAAGGAAACGTTGTGTTAGCTATAGGAGGAGCAGGAGGGTCAAAAATAACACTATCTACAGCTTTTGTGAGAAAATATACTTGATACACCATTTACACTGTTTTGTATGAAGCAGCTAGATCATAGGACGGCTAGTTGTGTACCGCATTAGAGTTCCGTTTTACCTTAAACCTGTTTAAAATCGCTATTATTAAAGCGGGAGAAGAGGGTTCACTTGGGAGGATGACGGTTAACCACACACCCAATAAGTAACGAGAGTAGATAATAATTAAATAACAAACATATATATTAGAAGTTTTTCAAAGAGTATCTTAAATTTAAGGGGTAACGGGGGGCCCTTAAATACTAATGGCCGGCGAAGCGGCATAAAACAAAATAGTTAAACTAAATTAAAACAAATAATAAATAACATTAAAAAATGTTTTAAAGCTCAACTGAATAGATGAAGTTGTTGTTAGTGGTGAGTGGACTGTATGAGATTTTGTGGTAATGGTGTCGAACATCTGAGTATCACAAGTGGAAGTGTAGTGCAGGCACGTAATAGCAGATGAAAACAGACGGCGTAAAAGTGACCATGGCAATGAAGTTATTTAGTGCAAGGGCAAGAAAACTTTGAGCACAAGGGTGTAACAAACAAATAATAAAATAACGGCGTACAATGACCGAACAATTTACCATTCAAGCGAAGGCGCTTGCTACAAAAAAAGATGACGCATAAAACAACAAACTCATTGACTTACGACGATGAACTGTACAAGGATGTCAATTGACATGGATTTGCAGTGCCTGGAGGGCAAGGGGGTGAGTAAAGCAAAGACGCTAGAGATTAACTGTCACACGATATGGTATAATCAACGGTGTTTGTGACAACTGGTCCAATAGGTCTTTGCTAAAGGCGTTCTCTACCAAACATATACATTAGATATATGATATAGACACTAACAAATAAGCTTAACCATAGTTAAATAGTAGAATTTAAAATGCTTCTCATTTACTTTATATAATTTTTCAAGTGAAAGTAAACTTGAACAGAATCAATTGCTAAAAAATTAGTTTTTCCCAAAATATAATGAAAGATTTTTACTATTCAGACAGAGAGCCTATTGTACTGTTACTAGTTTGATATTCTTAACGAATGTATCAGTTTGCCAAGGGAGACTAATTGAAGTCATAATCCCATTATCTGACAAAATACAACCTATACATCACAGAATATCTAGGCGATTAGGAAATATCTTTACAATGACATTTATGATAGTTAACATGCGGGGTTTAGATATTTCATGATTTTTTTCACTAAACTGCTATTGTATTTTACCCTAACATTAAAAAAACATTCGAATGCTTAATTAAGATATACTTTTTTAAACACATAAGTAACTTGTATGTTCTTATTTTAAGAAATAATAAAAGATTTATATTAAAAATTACCACTTAAAGTTTTCTGGCTACTTGACTAATAATTTTTTTTTATGTAAAAATAAATTGAATTTTAATATCATTATATTTCTTATTTAAACAAAAAAATCTTTAATAATCTATAAAAACGACACAAGTAATATTAATAACTAAAATATTTTTAAACTTATTTTTTTTTAGGTTTCTAGTCTTATATTATGGTTTAATAAAACTTTAAAAGAAGCTGTAGATGAACCAAGGTTTTATCATCAATTGGTACCAATGAGAGTTGATTATGAATACGGCGTACTTAGGGTAGGAATTAATTATAAATATGTTCATAATTTTGTTATGATATTTGTTAAATATCATTCAATCATATTTAACAAACCACTTTTATTTGAACTTATTATTTCTATGAAAAATCTATAAATTTTTGTAAAAGTAAGTTATACTATAGAGTTCACTGTAATAAAGTCTTAAAAACGCTCATTAACGTAATTTAGAAGGGTGAATGGGTTTCAACAGCCTCAGATAATATGAAGTTTCTGTAGACCAGCCCTCTGTAATTTGAGATTATTTAAAATTTAAAAAAAGTTTATTTTTACTAATTCAATGATGTTTCAAAAATATATGTCAATATTTTAGAATGTAATTGAGAAATTAAAGGAAATTGGTCATCCGGTAAAAAGACTTAAAATAAATGAAGGTTCAGCCGTCACTGCTATATATAGGACTAAAACCGGTCAAATAACTGCAATGTCTGACTTTAGACGACCTGGAAATACATCTGGCTATTAATAAATAACTTTAATTGTTTTTAAAATTTTACAAGTACATTTTAGTACAATTAAATAACAAAATATTGTGAATCCTTATTAATAGTTAACGATTTGAGTTCCTAGTCTAATTTATTTACAATAAATAATTATATATTTGTTAAATAATTAAGAAATCATTTAACAAATTTAATTTTTAATTAGTAAAAAATTATCAACAATAACTGATAAAACAAATTATATTCTACATTATTATATGCTGTTAATCTTTCTTAAATTTTTAACTTATGATAATATTTAAGTATTCATTACGTTAAAATATTTTTCTTGTTTTCAAACGTATGTTAAGAATAACAATATTTCATTAATGTTCAACTATAGTTCTATAATTTTGGCATAGTAATTTGTACAATATTTAAAAAAATGATATAACTGTTATTATTAATGTGATATACTTCATTTTAACAAATATAGCGAATAATTAATATATTTTCAGAATTTTTTTGTAAGACTTTTATTATAAAATTTCTTTTCACTAAATGTAAAACGTTTACTATAAATCATATGCATCAAAACTACTATGAAATTATGTAAAAAAACTAGACTATACAAATAATGAGTTGAGGCATTTTAAAATTAGTATTTCGTAGATGGATTTTGGCTTTCCGGTAAGGACATGAAATAAAACGTGTGTTGGAAGACGAATAAAAGTACGTATCACAGTATAATTTTGTTTGCCACCGATTAGTCAGAGGAGTTTTAATTGTGGTAGGTTTTTTTTTATTTGTTTAACCTACTTTTATCTATAGGTACGAATAAAAAGTATTTATCAAAACGTTATAATATTTAATTATAAAGTATTCATTTTAAAATTTTAATTTTCAAATTTATAAAAATATAGGTATTCCGTTGCTATTAAAAAAGCTTGAAAATCGACAATTTTTAACAAAAATTGTATGATTTTTGGTTTAAATCAAGACAACTTCCAAAAATTATGATTTCAGATAATTTTTTAATTTTAAATCACATTTTATTAGCTTTAATTTTACATAGGTTTAATATAGGAAGGATTTTTTGGAATATTATTAAAAATTAAGAAGAAAAAAATGTCGATATGATTTTTATGTCCCTTAGTTAATCATTAAATTTAAGAATAAAGTACGTTATCTGCAAGTCAAATGTTTGTAGTATTATCAATATAAATTTCGCATTAATATCCAATTTTCAAATAGTTATTTCAATATAAAGAGGAAATCAAAAGTATTAACATCGACTATTTTATGACATTTGTAATTATTTAGTATATTTCTCTTATTTATTTTGATTGAGAAAAATTTTTCAAAATTACGGTACTGATAGCTTAAATTAGATACTTTTTGTGGTATTTGAAAGTATTGTGCAAAATTGCACTTATAAAAACGGGAGTAATCGCACACACGGATACAAAAATAAATATATATATGGTCATTGCCATTTACATAGGCTCCTTTTTGGGCCAAAAATAAACTATAATGGTTCTCGTTTGGTTTCTATAATGCTAAAAGCTTTCTAATTATAATTTAAATAAATTTAAAGTGCATCATACAATAGATATAAATGTACAATGAACATATTTCTCCAATGTATACTAAATGATTCATTAAGAATAAGACACATATTCATTAGAACTATTGAACATTTTTAATTTTCACAAAGAAAAATATAGTTTGATTCAAAAAACTTTAATAATATATAGTAAAATAATTTTTTTCATCCCTTTAGTGTTGAAACCCTATTTTTAGTTTGTTATATGATAGAAAAAAACATCAAGCGATATTATTCTTATTTTTTTTTTTTTACAAAGTAAACTATTCTTCTGTTATTGATTGTTGAACTTTAGTGATTTTAGCCAATTTTCTATTGATAAATAGCTATTTAGTATACAGTAGTTGTCATTTGTCGAGATAAAAATCGATAAATTCTTCTCACAGAAATCTTATCTTTAATAATTCATGTATATTACTAGAAGTATACTATTATATTCAGCGCAAGTTTACTACCGAGAAATCTTTTGCCTCCGGTATTAAAAACCAAATAAATTTGCATTATAAGTACAATTTTAAAATATTTACGATTGATTAGATAGAAATGTATGAATAAAACTATTTGAAATTTTTTTTCTATCATATCACCAAATTAAAATTGGAGTTTTTATCAAAGAATTAAATTTTATGTTTTTGTTCCAGACGGGATGAAAACAAATTATTTAACTATATATTATTGTAGTTTTCTGAATCAAACAATAATTTCCTTAACATAAATAAAAAATGTTAACTCATTTCCAAGAAAAAGAACGTCTTATCGTTAATCACTTTGTATACAGAATAATGTTTTAAATATTTATTCAAACATTTATTAATTTTAAATCTATCTTTTGGATTCAAATTTATTTGGGTGGACTTTTATTCATCTAAAACAGCACATTTCATAGTATTTTTCAGGTCCTCATTTAGGTCACGCTTATGAATTAACAGTACTGAAGTGATTATATTATTAATAATTGTATTAAAACCAAGAATCTTATAAACACTTGTTTGCAAATTAAATATTATATAATAATATATCAAATATTATTAGTAACTCGGAACCATACAAATATGCATAATAAACTAGATTGATAAATCGTGAATACGGTTAAATCTAAATGGCCACTATCTTTTTTGAGGCCTAACTTTTTTTCCTATACTTCGTGTACAAATTATTTTGTTTTAACAATTTTTTGCTCCGATAGGAAAAATGTTTGACTTCAAAAAAATGGCGTCTATTTGGCATTACCAGCGAACACAGGCAATACAATATAGGCTAGTTAGTAATCTAGTTTATTATCTAAATCTATGCCCACGATAGTGATATAGTTATAGGTTTTGTTCGGAGTGTAATATACATTTTTTTACAATCCTCGTTAAACGACACAAAATTATATCTTCACTATGTAAACAACTTTGTTCTGGGGATCTATTCTCATAATCCTCCTAAAACTACGCTTCTAACACATGACCCAGTATAAATCCGATTTATTTTTGTACGAGATCCTCAACCATAAATTAAATATTTTTTCAATTATTGTGATATTACTTTTATATATTTTACACTCTTAAATATTTTGAATATTCAGAAATATATGAATTTTTTAACACATAATTTTTATGTTATATTTTTATATAAGTTAAGATATATCCCAAAATCTTGTTCTTACAATTCATATCACATAAAAATGAGAAAAAAAATGAATTCTGTAGTGAAGAATAAAATTTTATTTTATATATATATTAACAATGTTAAAATGTAATTAAAACTAGAAATAACTAGGAACCAAATCTTAAAATGGCAATGTTGAGCTTACATTAATGTATTATCATAACAATTGTGACAAAACAATGATAAGTCTAGAATAATAAATGTCGTAATGAAGCTAAGTATAATTACAAAAATGAATAATTAAGTAGACTTTGCGATATTTATAAAAAAAAATCATGTAAAATTAACAATATTAGGATCTTCATTAATAATTAATATCTAATTTGAATCTATTAAATTAGTAAAAATTTTAGTTTATATTTAATGATTAATATACATGAGTTTTTTTTTTTAATTATCAAACATTTAATTTTTTTTAGGTAACATTAAACGTCTATTTTTATAATTCAAAGTTTTCTAAAATAACAAAAAGTAAAAAATTAAACAGAATACAAAAAAAATAATATTTGTATTAACCTTAAAGCATAATCAAGCTTTGCAGAGGTGTACCAAATAAATCAATAATTTTATATAAAAGATGTACTGCTTATTTAAAAAAAAAATATTTTTATATCGTTTAATTTTTTTTAACTGACAGACCAGCTAACATCATGATGAAACACAAGGCATACGTAGCTACCGTCACTTGTTTTTGTGGTATGGGAATATCATCTTCCAGGGGCATGATTTCTTTATGATCATTCTTTGATGAAAAATTCCAAGTCCATAACTTTTTTAAGAATCTAAAAATCAAATCCATCAAAATATCTATGAAATACTGTTGAAACTTATTTTTGATAAATCACTGTTATAACCATCACCATTTCAATTAATTAGTTACAAATCATACACTTAAACATTAAACCATAATCCATTATACTAAAAGCCAGTGAAAGAAGAAAATAACTACTAGTATTTAACAGGCAAAAAAAAAGTAATTTTTCTTTTTTAACTAGACATTAATGATCGAATAAAATAAATCAATCTGTGGTTGACAATGAAGTAAATAAATTAAACTAAGTATAGTAAATAACATTCTTATACAATATACAAATAAGTATGTCAAATAGTAAATTGTTTAGTTAATTTATGATTGCTTACTTGGATATTATATACACAAAACTTATATGAAAATAATTTATATTATTAGTAAATCATAATGTTAATTAATAAAATTTATATTACATTTATTGACGAATAAATCATGTAATGGATACAAAGCATGAAATATTATAAAAATAATTATAGTCATTGGCTTTATAAGGAACTGAACAAATAAAAAAATTTACATCACATTATAAATTGTAATTCTTGTATTTAGTTTATCTAGGATTGTTATTTTTAAATTGAATTAGCATATTGTTATTTTCTATTGGCATTGAAAGCATTTTGTCACAAAAACATGTTTTCTATTGTATTTAGATTATCAAGAAAGTAGTTCTAATAAGCTTCAATAATGTGAATAGTTAAAATTACAAAATATTATTTTTATAATTAAATTTTCTAAATAACTATTAATTGAATAATTTACTCAATAAATAAATATTAATTTTCCTTTTTAAGTTTAATTTGGACCACAAATTAAAATCTTAAATTTATTACAAGATAATGAGTTTCTAATATAAAAAAAAATAGTGCTGATGCCAAAGTTGAGTTGTAAGTTAATGAAGTTCAAGCTTGAATAAAATTTATTCAATAAATCTTTCACAGAAAATAAAAACTTTCACGGGAAAAAAGATTGAGACCTCAAACAGTGTGCGTCATCAAGATAAGTACAATATAATATTAAATTACTAATTGGAACACGTGAATAGTAACTCATATACATTTAAAATTGTCTTAATACTTATATGAGTAATGTATAATTTAAAATTTTATTTGCTTAAAAATATAAAATTTGAAGTCGGAAAAAAATGTGTAGTAAAANATCAAGATAAGTACAATATAATATTAAATTACTAATTGGAACACGTGAATAGTAACTCATATACATTTAAAATTGTCTTAATATTTATATGAGTAATGTATAATTTAAAATTTTATTTGCTTAAAAATATAAAATTTGAAGTCGGAAAAAAATGTGTAGTAAAAATTTTTTATCTGACATATAATGGAAACATAAACTATACACTTCAGTAAATTTTTTTCTTCAAATTTTAAATGTTTGTAATAATTTAAACAAAAAATAAATTAAGGTCATACATAACAATTTTTTAGTTTAATTTTGAACACTAAATAGTTGATTAATAACAAATAAAATAGCACCATAGCTGAAATTTTTTAACATTAAAAATAACTTAACACACAATAACATTAACAAAAAATTAACAAATCCCCAATATCATTTAAGTCTTTATGTTATTTTACCAAGGACTAGTGGTTTATTTTACAATCATAATAAAAGTTTTTAAAAATAATTTTTATTAGTTGCTATAATTTGTTAATAAAATTATATTTTTTATTTAATTTAGATGTGAATAAAAATTTAAAGTCTTTGATTTTCAAAGTATCAATAGGCAACCAGCAACCATCATCACCATTCCCAAGGCATATGTAGTTAATACAATTTTCTTGAACCTACGATTTACAGATTCCAACAAAAAGTCCGCTTTTATGTTATAATGCATATCGTCTTCACTGAAACATTATTAAACAAATATTGTCGTCTATATGATATCCATAGTAATACCATTTTCGGTAACTTTTTACATGCACCATTTATTTTGATGCTACTATAAATTGTGATATTTTATGATAAATGCTTGTGCATGATGTATTGCAAAAATGATACCATGCTCTGAAATTGTTTAAGTAGTTCTAAATACGAGAAGTATTCAATACAGTAATATTAATACCAACAATTTGTTTTTATGAAATGTTTATAATAATTTAACAGGTTTGTATCCTTGATTCACTTAAATGTAGTTTATAAAAAAAAACGAAAATAATCATCTGGAGCCCATAAATTATAGGTATATAAATAACATTGCATACAATTAGTGTTTAACTATTTGAATATCAGTCCAGTTACATCAGGTTAGAATTGTTTTTTGTTAACGGCATTGAAAAAAACATGCAATAATATAAATGATAAAGCGTTGATTAAATTTTTATAGAATTTCATTTTCTGAGTTAATAAGCTTGTTAAGTTATACGCATGAATGGATTTATTAATGTTAATATAAGTATGTTAAGAACTTAAACAAAAACCACCACAGAATCATATTTTTTCTCTCGCTTGACTATTGGAAATTCTAATACTTGAGAATTAATAAAAATATCATATAAAATATTTGTTATCAATTAATAAGAATAAATCTCATCTACTGCATGCCTACGTAAATATTTTGTATTATTTTTGTTAGCACTACGCTTTTTTACGATAATATGTAAATGAGACTAGTTGTTAATTCAATTTTTTTCTTCATAATACTATAATTACGTAAATGCATGACGCATTCACTGTATAGGAAATATAATATATTTTAAAAGAAGTGGGTTCTGAGAAGAAAAATAGTATTTTTCTTCTCTCATGATCCACCTATTTTACTCTGGTGCTGAAAATGAGCCTATTTTTATATGTCTGTAGAGTACATTTCAAGTTTAAGGTAAACAATTTATTTTATGAACTTATTCTAATGATATAACCGTACTAAGAAATACATTATTGCCGCAAGTTATAATGCTGTTAAACATTTGATGACTCACTCAAACTTGAAAAATAAATTTACTTTTAGCACTATTTTTATGATATTAACTACAAATTTTATTTTATTTATAATCTAAGTGTATTTATCTTGATATTTTTTCTAGTTTTACTTAATATTAAGAAGTTATGTGAAAAATATTAGCTTAAATAATATTGATTATTATTCGGCATGTATAAAGCTAAAATTTATTTTTGTGAAATAATTAGTTCAAATCTTTCAAGATTTAAATAAAAATTAATCTAACTAGTATTCTCAAAGAAGTTTCGTCACGTCCTTATTTAAAATATACACGGATGTGTATCTTAATTCATTTTAAATAAAATATTTACTAGTAAGTGAATATGAAGTTGAAGGAATTGTAAGTACCAATTTAAAAAGGATGCATTTAATTAACCATTTTATGAATGTGAAGGTTAAATGCTCTGTATCCTAATTTTAAATCTATTATCAATTATAATTGTACATAGTTGTTACCTAAAAATATTTGACTGGCGTCACAGATAGCAATAAGTTTGTTTAAAGATACAAGGCCGGATTAAGACTGATATGGGCCCCGAGGCGGCATCGTAGATGGATCCTCTAATGGAAAATATTGCTATTATAAAAAAAAGTGATGAGCAAAAAAAAAAACCAGAATAACTATCATTAATAATGATTAGGTTAGTAGAATTCGAAATGAGGCTTCGGAGCGTTTGTTTTCCATGTGCCCCCCATAATGCTAAGATATCATCAAATTGAAAAATTTACAGCTTTTTTACGCCTGAAACCATAAGTTAGTAAAATTCATTATATAAACTCAAAGGTTAAACGTTATATTCAGAACTAGTTTTTTTCTAAAAATCTAAATAAAAACTATGTTTACATGTTTAAAATAAATGAATTAATTCACTGGTATTTCCCTGTAGGTAATGTCTCATAACTGGTTTATGAATTTCGTTATGTTTTAGAATTAAAGTTAAAAACCCATTAACCGGCTGACTTTTTAAAAGCAAATAATTTATCAAAAAAAACCAATGATGGTAACAAACAAAATAACTATTATAAATTATGACCAATATATTTAACAGATTTTATTGAACTTAATTATTTTTATAAATTCATCCGGACGTGTAACACATTCACTGAACTATGGTGGTAGGCTTATATTTACTATAGCCATAACAAACATACTACTTATACTATCAATTATTTATATAAGAGAAAAAAATTTTACATACAAAAATTATATTCAGTTTATTTTACTGGATCTGTAGTTATTTACAATATTCTAGTTCATTAAATTTTAATAGTATACAATATGTGGTTATTATTAATTAACGTAAAAGTTAATTAAAACACGATGGCGAATGTTTTAGTATAAATAGGAGAAAAAAAGTTAACAATTATATTATAAAAATACATGATAGTCGAAAAATTATGGTAAATACGTCAATACAGCTAATAGTCATTAAGTGATACCTGAAATATTAGGTTAACTATTATTTTCATATTAGCCTCATTAAATTGGAAAGTATTTCAAATTACCTATAAATAATTTCATTTTATTTATAATACCGAAACTCTTAACATGGTTACTTATTTCTTAAAAATTACTAACAAATAGGGTTGAAATAATTGAAGAGAGTTAAAATTAATGTTATAATAAGTTTTTAAATTGTTATTGTTTTGAAGCCAATGACGTTGATAAAACTTATGTTCACTTATTTAGTTGAAATATTATGTTTTTTTCTGTAAAGCATTAAAATCATGGTTAATACAAATTCTAAAATATATATTAGAAAAGGCTCATTATATAAATTACTATGAAAAACAATTAAATAATTTAAAAAATGTGTTTTTATACATGCTAATCCAAAATATAAATAAGATATAAAAATTCGATGGGTGTTCCATGTTACATAATAGTTAATATAATCTTGTTAAATTATAAGAAATTAGAGTAACTATTACTAATCGTAAATTAAATATAATGAGACCTTGGGTCAAAAATGTATTCAATAATCATTAAAAATAATGGAATCATTAGGTATTTCAAATCAGAAGTTTTGTATTATAATTTAGACGAATTTTTCAATGAGGTACATAAGTGTAGTGTGGTGTGGTTAAGTTTTTAGGGAGGTCAAGTCTCCTAGCAAACACCCCCTATCTACATCTATGATTATGAAATTACTAACAAAATTTTATAAAGGCTGTTTTTATTAAATAAACTTTATAAAAATTAAAAATAAAATATCAATTTTGTCAAACTATAACTAATACAAAACGGTTCTTATAATTACACATTTGATACAGAAGTGTTGGTTTTTAAAATTAACAAATGTATTTCTTCGTTCTAAATATAACTCAAAAATACATAATATTAGATTTTATAAATTACATATTTAAATAAATGTATAACTAGAACCAATATGCATACTTAATTATATGCATTAATACTAACAAGTATTGAAATAAGAGAGAAATTAATGATCTAGTAAAAGTAATTTTGGTTAAAAAAATATATTTTAAGCAAAATAAACTAAGCAGAAGCATAAGCATTCCGAGTGGGAATCATTACAGTGATTATTGAAATTAAACGAGTTTACATTAAAAAAAAAATACAGCTGTTGTTTAGTAACCGAGTATTAGACGTAAAATCCTACCTGATTTTGCTATATTTACGTTTTCCACCAAATGATGTGTATTCGAAAGATTCGTGGTCGCCTGATGTTGCTCCATAGCGTAACATTTGCTTGGTCTTGCCAACCACTTTGGTCAAACTACTTCTTTCGTTCACCATTATTTTATTACTAACTAATCGATTAACTATATGAGTAACGAGTGTTTAAAATAATATATTTGTGGAAGTATGTATGTTCTTATGTACGTAGGAGTCGGATGCGTTCTCAGTGGAATGTTAAAGCAGACTACAGGAGACGACCTCAAACACCGGTTTTAAAAACTGATGCATATAGTAATATGGTACCGTGTAATAAATATAGATATTTACATCAAACTAGAATTGTTGCTTTCTCCCTCCCTAGTCGATATACTACTAAATAATTTTCATTTTATGTTACATAATAATAATACGGTTTAACCCTTATAAAAAATAATTTTTTTTTTTTAATTACTAATTAATATAGATATTTTATTAATATAAAAGGAAATGAATTAAATATACATACAGACAGAAAAAGAGATTATAGTATTAAATAAATTTCTTATTTACGAAATACATATTAACTATTGTGATTTCATTAATAATTATGAGTAGAAGTGTTCATAATGAAGAATGAAGATCATTATTTGTATATTTAAAGCAATGAGTCATTTCTTTTTTATGTTGTTTGTTTTTTTTTATACCGAACTATGAACTGTTAAGAAATATCTCAAAAATAGTATATAATTATTTAGGGTTATTAATATTTATGATAATATCTGTTATTATACTATAATTAGGACCGGATTAAACTATTCTTAGTCCCTAGAACTAATTTGAAAAAATTAAAAAATATAACATTTTCACAGGGGCGATAAGCAAAAAGTTTCTAAAATAAATTCGTAGGTTCATTATTTCTTGTAGACATATTGTCTAATGGATAATTCAATTCAGATTATAATGATCAGTCCAATCATACTTTAAGTGTCAGTTTTGATTTAAATATCAAACTTAAAGAGATTGCAAGAGATTAATATTTTACTATAAATCTTTCTTGGTATTGTTATTATATAAACTATACAAATAAATAAGTATAGATTTTTCTTTATAATAAAAAAAAATCTCTTATTAGTTGAAGGTGTATTACAAATTATTATTTACGTGTATCTAGTATAATATTAGCTGTTGTTAAAAATATTTTTAATAAGAGTTACTGAGTATAATTTGAAGTACAATTTATTTTACTATCTTAATCTTGTTTAAAAATATATGAGGTAATAAGGGGTCAGCTCGATTATCAAAGAGGTTATCATAACAGTTAAAATGATACTACTTTATTTAAAATAATAATTGTGTTCATACTGCAATGTTCTACTTAAAAAAATATTAAAGTATACACTTCTAGCAAATGATGATAACCTATTAGTTTAAAGTTAAGTTGTTTATTATTTTCTTTACATTCACAAAGAACAGATATGATTACATTTTAAACATTTCAAGCAAATTCTATTTATTGCATAATAAAATAATTTTTGTAGAATTTCACTATATAATACTTTAATATCACTGGATAAATACACGTAAAATATTTCATTACACCATTACTTTTTAAAGCTCTTTTGAATCGATTATTTCAAAATTGACATAAGTCACTAATTTTTAAAGTTTGATTTTTTCAAATCTTATGGTAATAAAAAAAATTACACCTACTTTATAACAATGAAATTTGGCAGACTTACATTTAATTAAAACATCAGGTGCAGTAAATTAGAATCATCACAACTATACAGGTCACTAACATGTTCAATTTTTATTTTTAAATATATTTAAAATTTTAATTTGGTAACTTATGCTGTTTTTTATATGACTAATTCATTTGGTATATTTAAATAATATGTAAATACATAAATATATTATGCGTTAATGCAATTTTTTGCATTTAAATATTGTTTCTTGTAGAAAAATCTGTTTGGCAATATATATCGATTATTAAATTATCCATAATAAACTAATGTTAATAATGATCCTCATGTTTGAAAACATTTTTAAAAAACATGTATAAGTATAGATTTAATTTGCAGATATAATGATAGGACTATGCCTACTTAATTTAAAACCTTAATTTTAAAAATCAAAACTTATTCCTATAATTTAAGAAAAACTTTTCTCTTTAGATACTACTTGTACATATTAATGATAAAAATAAATCAAAGCGTTATTATTATAGGTTACATAATAAAATCATTATTTTTAATTTATTAATCTAAGTTGGTAAAAAATCATATATCACTAATACATTGTATTTTTAAAACTCACTAAAAGAGAAAAACTAATTACATTCTACACATTGATTAATTATAAATAAAAACTATCAGCCATGTATTCAATTTTACATAGTAGGCCATTTTCATAAATTTTGTATTTAGTTTAATAATATTTAATACATTGAGAAGAGTTACATAAATTTTTAAAGTGTTTTAATTTATGATCTTCAGACTTTAAAGTTATGAATTGTAGATTACAGTATTTTAATAAACAAATAATTATTTTTTTCATAATTGTCTTATCAAAAAGATTGTGGTACTTTAAACCTATTTTAAAAACGATGGTAAATAATGATAAAAATTGATTAAAATGTATGATTAAAGATTATTATCGAGTTTCTTTAATAGAATTCATCTGATGTTATCAATGCAACAAACAATTCCTTGTATACATAAGGTACCTCAAATATAATATATTTATTCTTGCAAATAATTCATAATAAACTTGATAGAATAATACTACATGTAGTCTACATGTCAATAACTTTCAAAAGACCAGTACAATATTTAAACACTTATAATTAAGATTTAAATAATACTAAACCAAATCTATAATAATACTAAATAAAACTAAAAAAATTCTCTTAATTATTATTGATTTAACAGAATTCTAGTGGTAAATGATAAATCAATAGTTCTAAATACATTTAATATCAAGTACAGTATACTGTATATAATTATAGCAAATTTCAAAAATTATAAATTTTGATTTGTGACGCTCTTGCACTCATGATAAAAAATGACGAAGTTTATAACAATTTAATGTACAAATTTTATTGTAAAAGTATTATTTTATCATTTAGAGTAGGATATTACGAGGTGTTCAATACAAATTATAAATAAAATAATGGCTTTTAATGTTTACCAGCAGGGTTTTCAGTTTTAAATATTTTTTTTTAACAATTTTTTTATCTTGTTTAAAATAATTGAAATGAAACATAATATGATTAAAACAATATGTTTAATCTTTAAAAACATGTTTTCTTTTTAAATCTTTTTTAATTTTTTAAAAATATTACATTTTATTTTGATAGTTTAAATAATATTTTTATTGAGTTTTTTCATTTTTATTTACTTAATGAATTATATTTGGCATATAAAATCACAAAAATCAGTTAGACAGGTTATATTTTTAATAAAACTCGAAAGTTTTACCTAAAAAACCTTAAAAAATGATTATTATAAGTTATATTAATGACTTAACACAAAAAAAAAATACTTAAAAGTAGTATAAAATATACGTTTTTTTAATTTCAAAAAATGTTTGATAAAACCATAATTTTTAAATAGAAAAAGGAGATATATTTTTTAATTACCTTTAAAAAAACTGTAATGTAATGTGAATGATGGCAAAAAATTACAAAAATAAAAATAAAATTTTGAATTCTACTTGCAAACTATAAAATAAATTTATATGTTACTTATCCTATTTTGTATTTATTAAATATCAATAGTATTTAATAAAGTATCAATAGTATTTAAGTTCTTTATAGAATATTTCTAATTAACATAAATTTAATTAAAATAAAGTATAATTTATTTCGTTTAAATAAACTTGTTTTAAATATATTTTAAACAGTATTAAAAAAACAGACAATTTTTTTTTTAATAAAAGAACTTTAAAATAACATATAACTGTTGAATTAAAGTGAAAAAAAACTTTTTCTGAACCCTGAATTTTACGTCAAGTAACTGGTTATGAATAATAATTAAATCTTCTAAGCCAATAAAAGATATAAATAAATAAATTGAAACATATTTTTTTTATTTGTGTTTTACGGCATTCTTATACTTTATGATTTTATGTCCAAACAACTCAACTGTTGTCAGGGTAACATATTTATTCTTTATGCGTTAAATCGAAGTGTTAATGGATACATTGATCATACACAACGAACTTTAAAAATATTTTTTTAAATGTTATTAGTTAAGAAAAATGTATTATATTTATTGTAGTTAAATAGTATAATTAAAATTCATCATTGTTTTTGTAGAATTGCCCAATAAAATTATTTGAAAAAAAATTTTATATTAATTATTTTTACATCCAGATTTAATGAGTCGTTTTTAAGCATCATAACTATAAAATAAAATGGTTAGTCGAACAGGATTATTAGCTGCACCGTTATCGGAAACATATAAAAATGATAATTTAGAACATGTAAGTATTTTTATTTTTTATTTGGAAAATAAATTTTATTATTATTTTATAAATAACGAATTATACTTGTATGCTCTTGTTTATTATTAGTATTATTATTAATATTTAAGCTTTAGTAGCCTGAGATAATTACAATAATGTATTTTTTGGATCTATAAAAAATAAATAAACAAAAATATTACTCAAAATACATAGAACTGTATTTGAAATTGAACACATTATTCTAAATACTTAGAATATTTAATATTTAAATAAAAACCATTGAAAAGAGTCACGTAAAATTTTATTTTGTTTACTCTAGCAATTTTTTTTATGTTTACATATTAGGTAAAAATGGTAATTGCTTATTGTTGAACACTAAATTTATTTTTATATAATAATTTTAATAATTTTTTTTTTTAGTTTTGTTTAGTTTTGTTTAGTATTGTTTATTTTTTATTTAAATTAGTAGTTTAATAATTTTTAGGTCCATCTTATATTCCTTAAAACGGTAAACTCCTAATTTTTTTAAATATAAATGAAAATGAGCTATCTAAGAAAATAACATAAAATTAAAAATAAATTAGAAATATTAATTGAAAATTAAAAATATTTATCTCAAAAATGAAAATTATAAAATAATTTGTAAATATATTTGTAAAAATAGCTAATGTTATAAATAACTTTTATTAAATATAGTGTTGTAAAATTTCCAAAAATTTAATACTAGGTGAGATAAAATTTTGTAAAACTATTCTGACATTTTTTAAAAGTTAAACCTTACTTTATTTTTATTGCCATATTAGTGTACTGTGAAATCGAAACAAGAATTAGAGTAATAATGGAGCTTTTCACTTCTCACCAATCCTAAAAAAACGTCACTTTTGAAATTGCTCGGAAAATATAATTATAAATATTCATAAAAAATGTATATATTACACCCTGAAATGTATTAATTTACATACGAAAATTATAATAAAAACAATAAATAATTAAATAATAAAAGCTAAGAAAAAATGTATACATATATATTTATTTTATTTTATTAAGTTATATAAATAAAATAATTATTTTTAGGAAAGGTCAATCGAATTGACTGGACTATTATGTAATCCAGCGCCATTTGTAATGAAACCTTTGGCAACTCTGTATAACCCATATCCATATGGTTGTTCAGTATTGTGCAATCATCCTCTTGATAATGAAATTAAGGATCTTGTAAAAAAAGCTAAAGATGCCTTAGTAAGTTGGTATCCAATAGTAAAAATTGAGCATGTTACACACTTCCTTTATGCAGGTATCAACCATTTTCCGTGCTAAACAGATGCCAAACACAAAGAACACAAAAAAGAAACCTTGAACACAAATAGATTATGTAATTTTTACATCATCTTTTGACGATATTATTTTATTTCAAATGACAAAATATAAATGATGTGTCTTTTAAAACCAAAATAACTTCAAATAATGTTGGGAGGAATAATGTAATTTCTAACAACAACTTTCGATTAGTTAATACATAATTTAAATTGTAGTTTATATAATTCGTAAATTCTATTAAGTCTATTGTTACTTAGTTGTTATTATTTTTTTCTTAGACTTTGGACCCAAAATCATCATTCAATATTCCTGACATCGATGAAATCAACATAATTGTACCAGAGGAATTATTTAGAAAATATACAGAAACTGACTCAAGAGCTACCAGTCCACTACCAGTTACAATTATACCTAAAATACCTATACAAGAGCAAAAGTTAGACAAATCAAAGCTAGTTTTAGAATTGGGTCGTAGTAGGAGTCAACAGTCATCTATAAAATTTTCAGTACGATTATTTTTTGTAAATATTAAACATACATAAATGTATGTATACTTATTTATGTACTAATTTCAAAAAAATTTAATTGATTATAATATTTTTATTGTATTTTTAAAAAGTACTTATAATTGTTGGTAGGAAAAAATTCTTATAAATGATATAAAAATAAATTTATTTCAGTAAATATAAAACTTATTTAAAGTTGAAAATTAGCTATTATCAGTTATTAATAAATTATTATAATGATAAATTTGTTAATAACTTAATTTATATTTACGCTGCTAAGGGAGTTGTCAGTTATGATTTTTGTGAAGCTTTTTCTTTATGCCAAGGTTCTGTACTTCATATGCCATCCATTACAAAGTCAGTGTATCAAAACGATTTACTTAAAGATAAAAAATTATCATCAAATAAAAAATCAAAATGTAAAAAACAGTTTCGCCAAAAAATAAATATAACTGAAAAACAAGTTGACTACATAGCCGATAACTTAGTAAGTAATATTGTACACTATTGTAAATTAAAATTATGTTTATCTAGTTTAGTTATTTAGCGTCACCTAGATTTATCAAGGAAACTTGACGTGCAAAAAGATAACAATGAAATTAAAGAAGTAACTTGGAGAAAAGGAAAACCAGTAAAAATCGGAAAAAAAGCTAAACAAAAATTCGACAAGAAGATTTCAAAACAACGTAACATAAAAGATTTTAAAGGATTTCAAGAACCATTAGAAACTCAAGTAAATGATATAGAGTCTACTCTGACACTTCTATAACTTTTGATCCGCTAAATATATAATATTCCTTTCTTTTTATATAATTTTTACATTTTTTGATTACGTTAAAAGCATTTTTTTATTTTAGTTTCTAATAAGAAAATATAAAAACACATTTTTTTTTTTTAAATTTTATAATAGACTTTATTAGCTCTTTTTGTAAAAAAATTGTTGATAGGTCGATAACAATTTTAGGTTAAGTATTTACAATATTAAGGCTTCTACACACTATCTGATTTAATCAGGTATCTTGTCGGTCTGACCAAATCAGACGATACATACACATGGTACGGCAGTCACTCAATTTGGTCAGTTAATAATAAGGGTTGACTGGTCAAATGGCATGGCCACCTGACAAGACCCGACAGGACATTTGTCATACAATAGTTCATATAGAGTACACATGATCTGACTTGAATAAATTATCCTTTCGGGTCGATCCAATCAGATAGTGTGTGTGAGAAGTACAAATTGTATACCAGCACGAACCCACGCGCACTACACATCCACTCAATGTATAAAATTGCTTATAACTTAAAAAGTACTTATCCTAATGTTGTTTTGGACCCATCAACATTTTTCGTGAAAATGGGCCAAAAAATATCTATTCTGAAATTTCGAAAAACTTAAAAATGTTGTTTTTATTTTTTCTTATTAGAGACAAATAATAAAACATATGCTTTAATGTAATCCTTAATTGTGAAAGTTGCTTATAAAAGGTTAACAACAAAATATATTTAGTGGATCAAAAGTTATAGAATCTATCAGAATAGTCTGGGACATCCTGTGTTTTAAAATTATTAATATCAAATGGAAAATGTTGATATTTATTAATTTATTATTATTACTGTAATAGATTTCCAGTATGAATCCTAATTCTCCTGTTAGAAGTGTTGTCGAGCATGATGAAGCTACAGAAGATGTTGAAAATCATAAAAATGAAGAAGAAAAGGACAATTTTTTCATAGATCCAGTCGTGTTAAAAGAACTACAAAGAGAATTACAATTAGTAGATGTTGACATTGAATTCGATACTAAGGTACTTTAAAGTATCAATGTATTTTATTTAGATTTATTTACAATAAAATGTTATTTTTTTTATTCGTGAAATTTTATCGTAAGAAACATATAGCATTAGAAGAAGCTTTAAGAATGAGATCGAAAATAACTAATCAAAAAATTAATGAAGAATTAGAAGTTCTTAAACAAGACATCGGAATGACAACAAAAAATATAAATTTACCAGGTTTGCCTAGAACATTTTCTAGAAAAAATATACGATTTGAATTGCCTATTGATCGAAAAAGCCTCAAAGGTTTTAAAAAGTATAATTGTATTTATTAGAATAAACAACAATAAAAAGTTAATGTTTCATAGACATGAAGCCCTTAGATTACTTAAAAAGTAATGTAAAAATTGCTAGTAGCTGTATGATAATATTTTCTAGAGTGTTTGAAAAATATTTAAGTTCTACTACCAGACTTATTAATGAAAGAGTAAGTAAAATGTATAATAGTGTAAACTGTAAAAATTAATAATAATAAATATAAACTTTTTTCCAGCATTTTTTTGCTGCGTTAAGTGAAGTTATGGGAAGACCGTTTACTGAACAAGAAGCGATAGACTTTCAAAATATTATTCAATGGTCACATAATCAAGATTTGAATTTTCGAGAATGGTGTGGATTATGTAGCGCTGCTGAACGTTTGTATGGTAAAAGATTTCATGACATTGTTAATATAATAACATATTTATTTTTACTAGCATATCTATATAATATAATTTAGATGTCAGTTGCTTCTAGTCAAAATACGAGAGGCCTATACTATAACATCGACCTAACTCGTCAATTGAATTTATTTGACAAAAAAAATTATGGCTAAAAAATAAAAAATTATAATTGCTAAAAAATCAGTTAATTCAATTTTTTTTAAAATTAAATTAAAAAAAAATCGTTAATTATTGAGTTTAGATTTTGAGATTACCCATATATTTATTGTTACTATATTATCAAATGTGGCCTAACAAATTTTATTGACCATTTTAAAATTTCAGTCTAATTATTTTCAAAGATTATAGTTTTTTTTATTCAGTACTTTATTTATATATTTTTAAAATATTCAAAAAAGGTGCTTTATTTAAAAAGTTTGATTTTGATTGTCCCATAAATGGTATCAGAAAATTTTCAATGATTATTTTTATTTTATAACAATAAGGTAATTTTTTTATATTGTTATAAATAATAAAAAACCTCATTACAGTGGGGACGTGGGATAGTTGGACTGTGTATAGATGATATCTATAGAATGTGATTAAAATCACTATCATAAAAAGCGCTTCGATGCAAATTTGTTAAATTCCACAATAATTTGTATATTTGTAATTTTACGATTTTTATGTTTTAAATTTTCACTTAAATATTTAATATTTGATCAATTATTTGTTTAATTAAAAAAAAATTGAGGTTTTTTTTATTTTGATAGTCGATTTTAATAGTAGGTTTATTAGCTTCGATGCGAAATTGAGAAGGTATTAATTTTACTATGATGTATTTTTTTATTTATTTATTTATTTTTTATTTATTATTTTTTTAGCTNATTGAGAAGGTATTAATTTTACTATGATGTATTTTTTTATTTATTTATTTATTTTTTATTTATTATTTTTTTAGCTTCGATGTTTTTTTTTGTGTCTGTTACCACTTTTTATCACCTCTCACAAAACCGATTTCTTTCAACGATACGTCAAAAGATCTCAAATCGTATCTGGTCGGAGACATTACCCTCAAAAATTGAAAAAATGTCTATCGTTCCCCGTAAGTGGAGAAAACCTTCAAAAAAATTATGAATTTATAAATCGCTAATTTTCGAATTTTTTTTTACTTAAATCTGCCATTTTCAAAAATGAACAAATCAATATAATATTTTTTTTTATAGATGATTGATGTCTTTACCTATTTGGTATATTTTTTTTTATAAATTTGACCCTTTACCTGCCCACAGTAGGGGATTTAAAATGACAACTTTTTCACAAAAAATTACTCTTTTCAACTTAACTTTTGAAAGTGTTCCGAAAACTCTGACACTTTTATATGTATCTTAAATTAAATATAATGTAATATACATAATTATGAAAAAAAAAATAATATTTTATTTTGCCTTGACGGTGAAAATGGCTACCACATGCTATTTTTGTGTTAATATACGTGGTTTTGTATTTTATTTTATCTTAAAATACTTTACAAAGGGATTACACTGATTTTCATAAATATTCTATCAATCTAATTGACATATTATAAAAAGTTAAACATATTCAAATTTTTTTGTTTCTTTGAAGTCGAAAAAAATAACTTTAAAATTTGAACTAGCTAAATTACCATTTTTATTAAGTGACAAATGCGACGTACGGTTTCTGAGACGGTAACACTTGTATCTTTCACGCTTGTGGCTCTGAATCTTTTTTAATTTTTTCTTAATTCTTTTTGAGTAAGAAAAAAATGTTTAACTTATTTGATTTTTATCTCATTTAGATATAATAACTTCAATAAATATCAAGGATGCCATTACTTTAGTCTCCTCTCGTGGGAAAAAATTTATATTAATATTATTTTACTATGTGGTTTTTTTTGTAGCTATCATTTATTTTCTCAGGTCTCACTTGAGCTACTTTTTTCTATGATACATCTAATGTTTACGATTCGTATCAAGTCGAACATATTACCCTCAAAAATAGAGAAAAAAAATTCCACTTTATCAATTAAAAAGTTACTTAGCTCACATTCTCCATATAGACAATTAAAATCATTAATTTCTAATGTTTTCTAAGTAATTATTGTCGAATTAGATTTGATATGATAATAGGTTTCAACTACAAAATTAAAAATTTTACTTTGTAATTGATTAATTTTTAGCTTAGATGATAAGGTATCATGAGCTGGTAAGCTAGGAAAGCTGATCATGATGTGTTTTTTTTTGTGTGTGTGTCTGTTGCCACTCTTTCTCAGCTCTCACTAGACCGATTTTGATGAACAATATGTCAAAAGATCACAAATCTTATATAGTTTAAGACATAACCCTTAAAAATTGAAAAAAAATCCCTGACTTCCTGTAAATTGGGGATATCTCCAAAAAAACTACAATTTTTCAAATCGGTAAATTTTGTCATTTTTTTTACTTTTTTTCTTAAAAGTACCATAACTTTTTCAAAAATTAACAAGACAATTCATTTTTTTTTATGTTAAACTTTAGACATTTGCCTTTTATTTGATATAATTTTTTTGTAAATCTGACTCTTTACCTGCCCACAGGGGAGGATTCAAAATAGCAACTTCTGCAAAAAAATTTTACTTTTTCAACTTAAGTTTTGAAAATGTTCAGAAAATACTCCGATCTTCAAACATATGTTAAAATAATGTTATGTAATATAAGTTAAAAAAAAAAATTTTCCAGATGAGTTATCTTATATATGAAAATAGTTGGCGCATTTAAATGATATGTAATTTTGATGTTAAAATTTTCGATTTCATATTTTATTTTTTCAACTTTAAATTACTATAACTTTTTGACAAATTTATGGATCAATACAAATTTTTGTTTTTAAATAATATATAATATATATATATATATATCATCCGACTTACGTTTTTTGTAAATCGGACCATTACCCTTTATACAGGAGGGTTTAAATTTTTAAAAATATGAGTGGAAAGTAGAAACATTTTAACTTAACTTTTGAAAATATTCCGGAAATACTCCAAGCTTCAAATATATGTCAAATTAAAGATAATTTTATGCACTATAAGTACAAAAAAAAAAAATTGTCCGGACACATTTTCTGCTGTGTGTAAATGCCCGTTGAATTAAACGAAAAATGTAATTTTTATTTATTTATAAAGTCTTCCTGACATCTCGTCATCTAGACTTACAATTAACAAAGTAGATTTTTTGACATTTAGAAACTAACTATCATAAATATATACAAGGTCATTAAAAAATGATACTATTTACACTATTCTATGATTAAACTAATTACAACTAGCTATTTACATTAGGATATACATAAGTTATAGTATGAAGAGAAAAAAAAATAATAATAATGACAATTATAATAATAAAAACAATGCCAGCCGTATCAGAAAGGTGAGAACTTACAGAGGAGTGGATGCCGACTCGGACCATTACCTACTATTTGCTGTCTACAAAACGGAATATGGTGAAAAAAATACCTATTGAAAAATATAACTTACAGAGATTAGCCGACCCCGAAGCTCTAGAGATATTTGTTGAAAAAGTACATGACAATATACAAGATAATCAACCAGGCAGAGAAAGTGAATTACAAACCATCAACTCCGGTTGGAGTCAATTAAGAGAGGCAGTGATCATTAGTGCAAGTGAAGCTCTGGGCATGGAAAAAAGAATGAGACAGAAGAGCTGGTTGCAAAGAAGCAATAGATAAAAGAAATGAGCTCAGAAAGACAGCCCTTCAGAATCCATCAATTGATGTTACAGATAAATACAAGGAACAAAGAAAGACTACTAACAAGATTTTAAGAACATAAAAGCGTCAATTTGAAAAGGAAATGATCGAAAAATTAGAGATTAACAGGTACAATACAAAAACTTTCTTCAACAAAGCTGGTAATCAAAGCGGACTAAAAGCCGCAAACAAAAATCTTGACAAATAAAAACGGAACTCTAATCACTGACGAAAAACAGATAGTTAATGAATTTAAGGATTTCTTCGAAAAGCTACTAAACAGACCGCTTCACAACACGGAAAAGGAAGAAATAGAATTCCACACTGTAGAACCGGAAATTAAGGAACCCTCTCATGAGGAAATTGATTGGGTAGTGGACGGCCTTAAAAATAATAAAGCACCAGGCAAAGATGGTGTAGTAGCAGAGCTGTTAAAGAAATGAGGGACAACGTTAAGGAGAAAACTAACAGAATTGATTAGAGAAATATGGAGAACAGAAACGATATCAGACGAATGGAACACTGCTATTATTTGTCCTATATTAAAAATGGAAAACCCAGCAGAAACAGAAAACTACAGTGGTATTTCCTTACTGGACGTGGGATATAAAGTCTTAACAACAATAATATTTAAAAGAATTAATACATATGCCAATGATATTATCGGGAGTTATCAATGTGGGTTTCGAAAGAGCAAGTCAACCACCGACCACATATTTGTATTAAGACAAATTATGGAAAAGTACTACGAATTTGATGAAGATCTGCATTTAGTATTTATAGATTACAAACAGGCATATGATAGTATTGACAGGGGCGAGTAAGGGAAGGGATTGGAAATACTTGAAATACCGGGGAAATATGTAAATCTGATAAAAATCTACAGCGATAAGACAATTTGCAAAATACGATTTTTGCAGAATGACTCGGAGCCAATTGAGGTAAAAACCGGCTTACGCCAGGGGGCGTAACGCACTATCTCCTACATTATTCAACCTAGCTCTTGAAAAAATAGTAAGAGATATCCATAAACAACGGCAAATGAAGATAAGTGGAGATTCAGTGATTTTGGCTTACGCCGATGATATTGTAGTGATGAGAGAGACTAAGGAGGAGGTTGCCCAGACAACCGAGATACTAATTAAGGCAAGCATGTCAATGGGCATATATGTAAATGAAAATAAAAATAAGTACATGGTGATGTCAAGGACCAATCTAATCATAAACGACCTATTGGTAGACAATTGGAAATTTGAAGCAGTGGACAACTTCAAGTATCTGGGAGTAAACGTCAATAACAATAATAATATTTACCATGAGATAAATGAAAGAATCGTGAGTGGGAACAGGTGTTACGATAGTATAATTAAGCTCCTAAAATCAAAATTACTATCATGGACATCAAAGATACGCTTATACCATAACTATTTGCGACCAATAGTGACGCACGCGAGTGAGACATGGTCATTAACAAAAGGCGATGAGAGAAAGCTGATAATATTTGAAAGAAAAATACTGCGGAATATATTTGAACCACGCTTTAACCGAGAAACAAATACGTTTGACTGAAGAAAAAATTAAGAGCTACAGAAATTATACAAAAGACCAAACATTCTAGCCTTTATAAGGAATGAAATACTAGAGTGGTTTGGACACACTTGGAGAGCGGATGGTCAGTTAATAAAAAAAGTACTCGTGAAAAAATGAACAAAAAAAGACCCAGGACCCGGTGGATCGATGTAGCTGCCAAGGATTTGAAAGCCATAGACCAGAATGTGGCATATGAATTGACTTACAATAGAGAGAGATGGGTGGACCTGTTGAAGGCAGCAATGGTCCTTAATGGACTGGTAAGCTGAGAAGAAGAAGAATGACAATTAGATTAAAAGTTCGTGTGGGCATCCACGCTTGAGATGTCGTACAGAAGGGGGGGCAGTTAAATTATAGTATTTTGCACTATCAGCCGAATGCATTAGATTGAAAAAATTAATCGCTAATTTCTTTATATAAACTGTTAAATATGGTAGCTAGAAATCCAAGGTCAGTGCAGCATTACTAAAATGTAAAAATGTGTAAAAATCACTGTTTATTACTTAACATATAAAAAACTTAATACTAAACATATAAAATATTAAAATATTTTAATACTTACAACTGCCATAACTTTTTGTAAAATGAACAAATTAAAATTATTTTTTTTATATTGAAACCTTAGATATTTTTCGTTCATTTGATATAATCTTCCCACAGGAGGAATTTAAAAAATCATTTTTTGCACACAAGTTAAGCTTTTTCAAAGTAATTTTTGAAAATGTTCTGGAAACATTGACACTTTTATTTAATCTTAAATTAAAGTTTATATTATTATTTAGAATAAAGTTCATAAGACATATGAAGTTAAACTTATTTCAATTTTTTTTGCTTTTTTAAAGTCGAAAAAAGAACTTTAAATTTGAATTAGCTTAAATTACTAATTTTATTAAACTGCAAAAGCGACGAATAATTGTCGAATCGGTAACACTTGTGTCTTTCACAGTTAGGGTACCAGGTTTGAATCCACCTGTGGCAATTAATACTTTGCATTTTTTTTTGAGTTAGAAAAATTTTTAAATCATTAGATTTTTATCTCATTTAGATTCATTAACTTCGATAAATATCAAGGATCCCATCACTGTAGTCTCCCTTCATAAGAAGATATTTCTTATTCATATTGAAATTATAGACAGTTATGTTATTATTGTTAATATTCATGTTAATATTATTTTACTATGTGTTTCTTTTTGTGGCTGCGATTTATTTTTCCAACCCTTGGTTAACCTATTTTTTTAAATGATTACTATTCGTATTTAGTTGAATGCATTACCCTCAAAAATTGAAAAAAAATCACTTAATCAAATAAAGAGTGCCTTAAACAGCATTATTTATACTAACAATCAAAATGATTCATTTCTAATATTTTTAATGTATTATTGACGAATTAAATTTGATATGATAAAAGTATTCAACTGTAAAAGTAAATAATTTTACTTTGTAATTTATTAATTTTTTTATTTGTGTGTGTTACTAATAGTTTATAACATTCCAAATTTTTTGGTAACATGTTGCTATATAAATTACAAATCTAAAAAAAAATGATTTTTAGTTTCACCTGAATTTAGCAATCGATTTTTACAATTATAATCAACATTTATAATTCGCTCAATTGAGTAGATATTTTTGACGACTTTTTTTCATTGGTTTTTTTAATTAAAGTAAATCATTAAAATTAATTCAGTTCTACTAATTTCAATTATAGAATCTTTTTAAATACCAAAAGCTAATTCGAAATGAATACTATGATTTTTATTTAAGTGATCTATTACGATAAAAAATCGATCTTTACTAATAAATTTATTGTAAATAGTAATTATAAAATTTCGAGAGTGCATATTAATTTTGACAATACCATTTTTTTCTATTTAATTATGTCAATTTGAAACGTGTAAGATAAGCTAAACGTTATGGTAATAAATTTATATATTTTTTTTATTATACACTTTCACTTTAAAGAGCAAAAAAAAGTAGATTAAAAGTAATTACTTTTAACATATTAAAAATTAAAATTATATAATATATAATTTAAAATATATATATATATATATATATATTATATTTTTGAACCCAAGAATTACTAATCTGAATACAATTAAAGAAATAGAAGTTGATGTTGCTTTTGTTATTATCCACGAATTTCTTAGAATTAATCACTATCTACAGATTTGCATCGAAGTGTTTCTTATGATAGTGATTTTAATCACTGTCAGATTAGATCTATACTGGATACAAATATGCCATGTCCTCACTGTGCCGCGACCCCACTGTGCTGAATTGGGTTTTTTTTTTTACTGTAAGAGTCGTAATTTTTGAGTAATTTACATAAATCTAAAACACTAACCCTAGAATTCAATTTTTGAACTCACTTGCAGCATGTGTTAATTTTGATCAATCTTAACCAAATTTTGTAAAACTTATATTTTTTTTATGGTAACCAGAGATTTTCCGCTCATTTATTTCTTTTCATTTTTCATGTTCTCACCATAGTTTTGCTCATGCAGTCTGTACATGTATTCTTTGTGTGTATTTTTAAATCTTAGCTCATCTTCTTTCACTTAGTATAAAATGTATATCTGTTAATATAGCTAAGACTTTGCTTATAAATAAACACGCTTTTATAGTTCAAAAATACTTTTATTCTTATTAACGCACTACCATTAATTTAAACTAACTTTTCCAAGTACTAAATATCACCAGCTGAGATTGTATTGTTGTTGCTCCAGCGAATATCAGATAATAGTAGTTTTAACTACAATTCTGACATTACGAAAAATCGGTTCCATGAGAGCTAAGAAAAAATGGTAAAAGTAAAATTAATAACTTCTCAGTTTCGCATTGAAGCTAAAATCGTTTGGATCTTAAGTTAATAGAATAGCATATGAAGTTTATTGTGTGTAGAATATCAATAAAACAGATGATTGATAGATTCCTTAAATTTTCTAACGGAGTTTGTCATTAATCGAATACCAATCAAATTTTATTATTAGCTATCATTTCACTTATTATGATAGACATTATGACATTTTTATCATGTTTGTGCACACCCTTTTTTTCACTATAGATAGTTTTCTGTGGAATAATGCACAATCGATTACTCAAATATAGAATAGAACGGATTATAACTGACTAATTGATCAGAGTCGTGGTCGTTCTTTATAATAATAAACGAAAATATTAATTCTCAACTAAGTGCACCGTTTTCTAGGACTAATCGAAATTTTTTTTTATTAACAAAACAAAGTAAAATATGAAATTTTTATTTCAAATCGAAATCAAAATACATGAAATACAAATCGATTTACACTTAGTAAAGAATTTTTTTTTTTATTTATTTTATGTTTTTTATTGTTATAAATAAAAAATACTATGTATTTTATTATTAAGGGTAAAGTATATAAACTACCGGATATTTTGATATGATCATTAAATATTATAAAAAAGTTTTTCTTGTATTTTTAGCTTTAATCGAGAGAAACTATTTTTAATTTAACTTCCTCTCTTAAAAATAGTTTGGATACGACTACTAAGATTTTAAGTATTTACTTATTGATTTGTAAAATTTAAATTTTGTTATCAGGGAAGTACTTTGTTTTCCAGCCACTTAGTAAAGAACAAGATCCATGTAACGAAGTTGAATCTGCAGATTTCTTATTATTAGATAAATGGCTCCAGGATATTCCTTCAGAGAATCCTATTTATAAGCTGCTAACGCTCATTAAGACTGTATAAGGAATTAATAACTAAGCTCACATAATTTATTTTTATGATTGAAAATTTGATTGAACATAACAGAAAATTTTAAGTGAAGCATTAATTTTATGTAGCTAATATTAATTTGTTCTGTCTCTTCTTTTTTATACAAATAAAGTTTATACGTTTATAATATTTCAGCTATAAATTACTTTTAGGCTCTAGTATGCAACACAAATAGCAATAATGTTATTTAATATGCTTTACAATTATTATAAAGTGTTATTAATATTATTTAATTATTATTATTTTTTTTCTTGGAACGTTAACTGGTAGAAGTAGAGAATTAGTAGAAGTATTGGAGAGGAAAAAAGTTAACATTTGTTGTGTGCAGGAAACTAAGTGGAAAAGAGAGAAATCAAGAGAAATGGGTGAGGGTTATTAAATAATATACTCAGGAAAGTATAGTACAAAGAATGGTGTAGGGATAATAATGGATGAGAAAAAAAAAGTAAAGTTATAGAAGTAGCTAGGAAAAGTGACAGGATTATAGTCGTGAAATTGATATTCGAGGAAAAAGTGCTGAATGAAATAAGTGTCTATGCACCACAAGTAGGATGTGATGAAATAGACAAGGAAGTGTTTTGGTGAGAGATAGACGAGGTGATGCAAAGGGTACCTGGCAATGAGGATAAGGTGATAGGTGGAGTTATGAATGGACATGTAGGTAATGAGAGGAGAGGATATGAAACAGTACATGGAGGTTATGGTTTTGCTGGGAAGAATGAGGCTGAAGAAAGAATCGTGGATTTCGCAGTATCTTATGATCTTGTTGTGGTTAATATTTATTTTAGAAAGAGGGAAGAACATTATAAAGAATACTACAAAGGAGATTGTTGGTGAGAGTAGGAGTAGAATGCGAGGAAACAAGGAAATCTGGTGGTGGGATAAGGACGTTAAAAAAATCATAGAAAGTAGAAAAAGCATAAAGAAAAATCAATTCAAAGTATGGCAGAAGAGGAAAAGGAGAGAAGATTAGATGGAGTATAAACGCTTGTGCAAAGAAGCCAAGTGTGCGGTAAGTAAGGCGAAGTTAAAGAGGTATAATGAGTTGTATGATAGGCTAGGAACAAAGGAATGCGAGAAAGAAATCTCTAGACTTGTAAAGATAAGAGAGAAAAGGTCTAAAGATTATCATTATATAAGATGTATAAAAAGTGTTGATAATAAGGTACTCTGGAGTGATGATGATGTGAAAAGTAGGTGGCAAGAGTATTTTGAAAAATTATTGAATAAAGAATACCCAAAAGAGACATTAAAGGATATCTCGTGGAACGAGGGACTGGTAGATTTAATTAGTGAGAAAGAGGTATCAGAGGCTTTAGCATCAATGATAAAGAATAAAGCAGTGGGAACAGATGAAGTGTCAGTAGAAGTATGGAAAATATTAGGCAGTGTTGGCATAAGGTAGTTGAAGGAACTTTTAAATAAAATCTTATTAAAAGCGAAAACTCTAAATGAATGAAGGCATAGTATTGTGGTGTCGATATTTAAAGGTAAAGGTGACATACAGGAGTGTGGAAATTATAGGCATAAGAGAATAAGAAATGGGACATTGGTATTTAAAAACCAGTTTTAATTTATGCCTAGTAAGTCAACAATGGAACCATTATTTTGTGTGAGGTAACATTAAAAAAAGTTTAGGGGAAAAAAAGAAAAAGCTTTGTATGGTATTTATAGATTTGGAGAAAGCGTATGATAGAGTACCGAGAGAGTTTCTAAAGTGGGTATTAATGAGAAAAGGAGTCCCGAATAGGTACATTAATATAATAGGGTATATGTATGATGGCACTTGTACTAGAGTAAAAAGTGTGGGAGGAGTAACAGAAGGTTTTCGGGTAAGAGTAGGAGTGCATCAGGGTTCTGCTTTAAGCACTTTCTTATTTTCTATAGTTATGAATGAAATTACAAGAGAAATACAAGGAGAGGTGCCTTGGTGCATGTTGTTTGCTGACGAAATAGTGTTAATAGGAGAAAATAGGGAGGAAAATCATCAAAGGCTAGAGGTGTGGAGATTAGCTCTTGAAAAAAGTGGTTTAAGAATAAGTAGGAGTAAGATAGAGTATATAGTACGAGTTTGATAAAGGAGAACACGAGGTAGGTGAAATAACGAGATCAGTGACAATAGGTGAGGACGTGATTGGAGAAGTGTTAGTTTTAGGTATTTAGGATCAGTTGTGCGAACGAGTGGTTGTATTGACGAGGATGTAAGATACAGAATTCAGTGCAGGTGGTTGAAGTGGAGAGAAGCGTCTGCTGTCCTATGCGATAAAAGAATCCTAATGAGGCTGTAAGGTAAATTCTACAAGACTGTAATAAGGCCATCTATGATGTATGGTTCAAAGTGTAGGGCGTTTGATAAGAAAGTAGAGCAGAGAATGCTTAGATGGATGAGTGGAGTGACTAGAGAAGATAGGATAAGAAATGAGCATATAAAAGGGAGTATAGGTGTAGCGTCAATCGTGGATAAGATGAGAAAAAATAGACTTAGATGGTTTGATAATGTATGGGAAGAGAAGAATCGGAAGCTGTAATAACAGTTGTAGAAATGAATGTTGAAGGAAGAAGAGGTAGAGGAAGACTAAAAGAGATGGAGAGATTTTATTGAATGCAATATGAGGACAGCTGATGTGAGCGTAGAGGATGTGGGAGATCGTGTCAATTGGAAGTTTAGGATAAGGGTGGCCGATCCCAAGTAGTTGGGATTAAGGAGAAGGAGAAGAAGATAAGTTTTCCTTTTGAATATGCTTATGTGTAATCAGTATTATTTTAATACATTGATTATGATTAATATTTTAAGGTATATGTTATAAATTATGATATTATAAATAAAGTAAGAACTACTTACTTATATTTGATGCAATTACCAATCTCAAATAATACTTAAAAGTTAGATCATATTTGAAATAAAAATTAAATATTTTAAGTAATTATTTCATTTATCTGCAAAATTTTAACAGTTTATAAGTATAACCATACCCTTAAAAATATAATTTTTTTTTTTTGTTATAATACACAATAATTAGAATTTTCTATATTTTCGGTGTCTAGGCTCCCTTAAATTGCTCCTTAAACTCTTTTGTACTTGGTGATATAATCAATGATGACTCATGGGTGCTGGTGGTGGGGATGCGAATTTAAATATAATACCGCTAGTCATAGGTATAAAAAATTGTCAAATTATACATAATAAAATAAAACACAATACACATATTATTATTTTAAAGGTCGCAGTAGATAATAGAAATGAAAATAATAATAATAATAATAGCGATTATACTATAATAGCAACCGATAGCTACAAGCAGTTAATTCTAAAAATAAATATACTAATATTTTATCGTATGGACGATGCTGCCTGTCATCCAAAACCGGTACATAAGATTGCAGCTAAACCGTACCCGCACGCACACGATTGGCGTCTCACTTTAACATACGTTTCAAAATATTGTTTGGCCGACGCTGCTGGTACTTATTGTTTATCGCCCAAAATTATCGCTTAGCTTATAATTTTGGATGGGTTTCAACCCCCAAAACCCCCCCTTGCGTACGCTAGTTATTATAACTATTTTACTATTTAAAAGTTAGCATTTTTAACAGAAATGTAGAATTAAGAAAGTACAAATAATTTTCTTATTTTAATTAATTTTAGTAGAGGGTGCAATCGTCTCGTCGTCCAAGCCACAAGCCGCCACTGGATATAATAATGTGCTTACGTAAGGATAAAATTATGTGTTTAGTGTTGATAATGGTAACATTGTTGCCGAAATATATATCAGCAATTTTTTAGTAATTTTTGTGGCTTTTTGAGTTAAATTTTTTTTTGTTTTAAATTAACATCAAAAATAAATTTTTACTTTTAAATAATATTAGACACAAGTGATTAATTCTTATTATATAAGGACAAATGTTGTTTTAATTTTCTTTTTTACTTTTTTGGGTAAAAGAAAAGTAAATAAAAAACATAATAAATACAGGAAGATTCATTAGTAAATATTAAACAATTACTATAAATAGACTTTTTCAGATTTAATCTTCAAGCCAGAACTCTGTAGTAAATTCTACGTTTACCAAAAAAGTAAATTTAATCTATACAATTAAAAAGAAAAATTTTACAAGTTTCAAAAATGTTCAAATTGAATCACAATTCAAAGAATAATTATGAATTATTGAATTAAATAGGTGATAATAGTGTTTACATGAATTCCCTAATTTATTTTATTTTAATGTTTGTATTAAAAAAATAACTATGATTCAGATTTATAGACACAGAAAACTTAACGTGGTATTCAATTTTATTTAACAATTTATATAAAATTATTTTTGAATGATTACTATTAATTTTTTATGATTTTTCTTGGATGAATATTTACATAAATTTTAATCGCTTTATACGGCCCATTGATTTATGTCAAAAAGTTTTAATTAATTTTCATTTGTAATAATGAAAAAATGTTAAAAAACTTGTTTTAGTTTATTTTTTATTAGAAATTTAGTAGGGTAACATCACCAGTCACTGGTATACTACCACATTTTTAATAATCGAGTTCAATACTTAGTAATAAACTTAAAAAGGTATTAAATAATATTTTGATTTTTGAATCAATTAACAGATTTAACTTCCTTAATAAGTTTCTTGTTTCCTTACAAAAGCCTTATTTTTAGAACAATAAAAAATACTCTACGACATACTAATTATAAGAATCGTCATTTGCAATTCTATAGTGCCGTTTACCCTGCAACAATTTATTTTAAAAATAAAAATACAATTTTAAATAAGTTTCACAATAAATTTAACAGTCGGCTTAAAATACATTTTACAAGTAAATATAACTCTTAAACAATAAGAATGTTTCATTGCAAAATTATCATTCATTAATTTGATATGGGCAACGAATAAGGCAGTAAATCACTTTTTCTTACTTTTCAGGAGATCAAAAATAAAATTTATTCTCCGAATACATCCTACATATGTTTAATAATTTTCTAAGTAGTTTAATACCAATTCATAATAAATGTTCGATATTTTGATGAAAGTTGTTATAAGAAGTGTAAAACCTAAATCCAAATACCTCATAATCTTAAAGTCTAATTTTTTTATTTACTGTCTTATTTTTTGCGTATGGAGAATTATTACATATGCTTGGTATATAAATGTTATCATAAAAAAATTCGACCAATAGATCATTGGTAATAAGAGCGTTTACCCGTAACACAAATATTTTTGCCTTTCTCCTACCAACTAACTAATCACCAACTAACGATACCATGCGCAACATCGATTGTAAGTAAAACAGAATACTTTACTCAACCACGACATTCCTTTCATTCCGATCCAATCGTAGTACTGCAGTTTTGCCATATTGCCGATTTTATGTATAGAATTTTCTACGTGTGATTAGTGAACATTCGCACTACAATATCGTCGCAGTCGTGGAAATTCATAAAACTTGGATTTTAGTTGTTAAAGTTCATCATAAATACTAGTGAAATTCACGTTTTATTTTACTTACACAATTTGATATATTCCGGAATTTTTATTGACAGCGATATGCTGTCCATTTTCCGTGTGCAACGATATTAATTTGACGTCGCCAGAAATTAATTTTTATCATTGAATTATAATACAATACTTTGCCGTGAAAGCCATGGCCGAGGTTGTTGTATTTGATATAGAACTACAAAACAATGATGCTTCTAAACAACCAAAAAACAATAGTGACTCTGACGATGAGTTATTGGAAATTGAAGAGGTAATCATTAATAAAAATACACAGTGTATAGTTTTTCTTATATCGGTGAAAACTTTATAAAAATTAAAAATTAGATCTTTAATTTAAGTTGTTTTGGAAATTCATACAAATTTTAAATTTCAACAAATTTAATACAACCTAGTTTTATCTTAATGATGATTTTGTTGACATCATTTTTTCATAATAATCTCAGATGCTGATCTATGTAAAAATATTAATGATGTTACATTTTTTATTTTATTTATGCTTATTATCAATTGTAGTTTTATATTCACATGGTTATGTAACTATTATGTTTATGAGACTTGTTTTGAAAAAAGATTTTACTCCAATATTTGTGTTTTAAACTATTCTTTATACATTTCAACTTGAAACCATTTTATATCATGTAGAAACTCTTAGAATATTACAAATACACACTTATTAATGCTTTTAATATCATTGGTTGCCAATATAATTTTAAGTGCCTGATTAAAATTGTACACTTATAAGCTAAAAAGTGCTTGAATAAAGGGTTTTAGACACTGTATTATATTGAATTTAAAAATTATTATGCATAATTTGTATTTATTTACAAGATGTGTGTATTATATAAAATTATGATTAGGTAAAATTAAAAATAAAATGTTTAAAAAACATTGTTAATAAAATATTAATGTTTATTTATAATACAATTAGAATACTAAAGTACTTCTGCATCACTTTTTATGAATGAAAAAGGTAAACAATGTAAACCTAGCATGTTTTATTACTATTCCGTGTTATACACGTTTATTCGTATATTATTATTATTGTATTACAATAAATAAATTTAAAAAATTATAAAATGCATACTAACTAGATATCATTAGTATAACTAGCTGTAGTTTAAGGGGCTTAATCCCTGAGAAAATAATTAGCCTCCCTAGGAAATCATAAAATATGTATGTATTATTTTTAAAGTGGATAAATTATATATAGCCCCCTTCAAATGTGTTATTGTTTCTCTATTATTTATTATACAGATTAGAACTTGATGATCTTAGTAAATAAAGTTGCGTCATCTATAAATATTCAATAAAATTAGATGTAGTAAAAATAAATACATTTTCTAATTTATTTTCTAATCTAAGTATTTTAAAGTTATTTTTATGCTTTGTAAGTATTTCTTACTCAAAACTTCTTTTTCAATTTTTAAGTATTTTGTTAAAAATGTTTATGTAATGTGTTCAATTTTTATTTAAACATTAATTCTAGTAAATTATTGATGTGTATATATTTTAAATAAAAAATGTGAATTATCTGGACATTAATTAATACTATTTCTCTCTGATTTATATAACATTAAAAAAATTAAACTTTGTAGAAAATAAATAATTACATTGTTTATTTGGTTATAATTTAACTTAGAGATAATGTTAAAATAATTGAATTATGTAATATTAGTAGGGTGACATTTTATATGGTAGTTTGTTTAGTGATTAATGTTAAATTATAAATGCTTACAAATTAATTTATAAACAATTTTCCTTAGTGAGCTATTTTCTTTTTAAGTGTATAGATTACAAAAAGTAAAAATAATCTTTATTTTAATCTTTGTTAGAAAAATTTTCATAAATATATATAGGATTAATTTTTAAAATTTTTATCATTAACACAACCTGATTGACCTTCATTGTAACTTCAATTATCTATTGACAGTTTATTTATTTACATAACAAGTGGTTTATATTTTATTTGTGTGGAAATTTTAGCATTAACACAGCTATTAGCAAATTATTTTTTAATGATTACTTTAACTAAAGCAAAAATCTTTTGAAAAACATTGAACTTATTTTTTAATGAGAAATGTTCAAATAGTCTATATGTATTATTATAATATATTTTATAATTGTTTTCATAGTTTTATATTTATAATAATAGTATATAAAGTTATCTAGTGACAACATTTATTATTTATATTTTTATATTTAAAAGGTCATAGAATAACGGGAACAATTAATTGAAAAAAAAAAGTAATTTCAATAGCACACAATTTAGGAAAATATTAATCTGATTACAATAGTGTTTTAATTTTATCTGAAAAGAATCATAATTGTTATTCAATAATTTTTTTAAATTTTAGTTATTGATAGAACCATTATTATAAATGTTACTATAGATCAATCTATTCTTAATGCAATTCACGAGGTATTACAAAATAAGGAATAATGACTTGTCTAATTTTCATAATTGACTGTTTAAGAGGTGGTAAAAGTTTTGGGGTTACAAGAATAGTAATAATTATATTTAATTANTTCATAATTGACTGTTTAAGAGGTGGTAAAAGTTTTGGGGTTACAAGAATAGTAATAATTATATTTAATTAAAATAAACTACTATTTTAGTAGTTTTTTTATGTGTTATATTACTAATTGAATTATATATGCAGATTATATTAAATTAATTGTTATTTGATAAGAATTAATTATAATGATCTTTAATTTAATGAATTTTGTATTATACTAATTTAATAGTTTATTTTTTGTTTTAAAATAAATAATATCTGATAAAAATCTAATCACTTTAATCATGTGTAGTTATCTAATTATTGCACAGTTGTATTTCTTAAAATGATTAATACTGAGTAAAAATTATACAAGTTATGAAATGGGCAAAACATTTTTGTTTTTGCCCATAAGATCTATATAGACCCTTTTTAAGCTGTTTAATATTTGATAAAGTTATTTTAATTTGAACTTGTTATTTTATTAAATAGTTGTCATTAGCAGTAAGCTATTAATGTACCAAAGCTGTTTTTTTTGTGATTATTAATAATATTTATATTTTCAGGCTTGTTATGTTCAAGAGCCTAATATTTATGAATATGATGAAAAGTAAGTGAATTCAATCATGTTTTTTAATTAATATTTCTGAGATAAATATAAAATACCACATTTAATTTCATAGATTGTTATATAACATTAATTTTTGAAGCAATAGTTTAAAATTCCTATTCTTAGTTTCTTGTATTTCTATGATTAGTGAATTTGGTTTTACCCAGTTTATAAATTATTGTAAGCCTAACGTTTATGCAGTGGCAGTTAATTACTATAATTGTTCTAGTCAAAATGTATTATGATATACATTTTTATGTTTAAACTATTCACATTGATACACAATATCACAGTACTCTGTTTCTCTCAGTTGCACATCTTGTTATCAACCTATATTGAAGTGTACCGAGATCTGAGTCATAAATGCATAATAATCTAATGGTAAGGTTTGTTTCTACCACACCTTGGATAGCAGGCTCTAATCCTGTACCATGTCTCTTTTTTCAAATGATTTCCAGTATACTTTTGATAGTCGGCCATTTGAAAAGTTTATTAATTGATAAAATATTTTATTTACTTAAAAATAAATTAAATATAATTTGTAGGTCAAGCGATGTTGAAACTTTAAAGTTATCTGATAAAACTGTAAATCAAACAAAGGAAAAGCTATCCCCAGAATGTTTCAGTATTTTGAAAGTTTTGGGCAAAGGTGGCTATGGAAAAGTATTTCAAGTTAGAAAAAAAACTGGTAAAGATGCAAATCGCATATTTGCTATGAAAGTTCTTAGAAAAGCTACGATAGTACGAAATTCTAAAGATATGGCTCATACTAAAGCTGAACGAAACATCCTTGAAGCTGTTAAGGTTCAATAATTTATTATATTAAATTGATTTTTATTTTAATATAATTTAAAATAAAAAATATTAATCATTATTTATATTTTAGCATCCATTTATTGTCAGTTTATATTATGCATTTCAAACAAATGGAAAATTATATCTCATTTTAGAATATTTAAATGGAGGTGAACTTTTCATGCATTTGGAACGTGAAGGAATTTTTTTAGAAGACACAGCATGGTAATTTTATTAAAAATTTTTAATTTTTCAGTTACTTTTCAATTTGCTTTTAAAATAAGATTTGAACATTATCATTATTATTTATTAATTATTGAAATATAAATTATTACTTTGGAAGGATTAGATAAAATTGAATTCAATTTTAAACAAATTTTAATATATACTGTTGTTAAACTCAATAATATTTTTATTTCGCTAAATAGAGGCTAATGTTTCATTTAATTTACATAGTAAATTAGTTCTGATCATGTCTAATTAGGTTCTTAAATAATTTAAATCATTTAAAGTTATGTTTCATGTTTAATTTGTGATTAGAGAGTAACTTTTATGATTTCAACACTTCATAAAAATGTAGGTCATTCCATGCTAAATTGACCTAATGAAGAAATTGTTTCCTTGGCCATGACCCGCATTTTAGTATTGCAATGAATTAAAAGTGCATACAAAAATGTAATTACAATATTTCATTTTATTGATTTAGAACTTTGATTTTTCTTTAAAAAAATCTAAAATTAATAATTAAGATTTTACTATCATATTAAGATTTTAGTAAAAATTTATATCTTACTATAAGAAAAAAACCTAAATTTATTCTTATGTATTTCAATTAATTAATTAAATATTAATTTGATTATCTTTTTGTATAATCTGAATACATTAGAAAAAATGTTTTTTTTTTTAAATAAATAATGTAGTGTTAAATTATAGATTTTTTGATGTTCCTATAATTAAATATTTTTTTACAGTTTTTATTTAGCAGAAATTATTATTGCTATACAACATTTACATAGTCAAGGCATTATATATAGGTAAACTAAATCATTTAATTCTTACAAAAATTATTTTATAAAATATGATATTTTTTGTGTAACATTTTGATTTTTATGTAATTGGATAATTAATTTTGAAATTTGGTAAAAATTGATAATTTAATTAATTATATTATATTGTTGTTTAGAGATTTAAAACCAGAAAATGTTTTATTGGATCATGAAGGGCATTTAAAGTTAACAGATTTTGGTCTGTGTAAAGAACATGTTCATGAGGGTAGTGTGACCCATACCTTTTGTGGTACAATTGAATACATGTAAGTTATTATAAGCATATGCTTACATTTATATAATATAATAATTTGCTTTTTATAGGGCACCAGAAATATTAACTAGAAGCGGCCATGGAAAACCTGTTGATTGGTGGTCACTAGGCGCTTTAATGTTTGATATGTTAACTGGAACTGTTAGTGAAAAAAATACAGTGTCTTTCCATTTTTTTATACTTATTGATAATGTTATATTTTTCATAGCCCCCATTTAGTGCTGATAACAGAAAAAAAACAATTGAAAAAATTCTTAGAGGAAAACTTATTATGCCTCCTTATGTATCTCCTGAAGCAAAAGATTTAATGAGAAAGTTACTTAAGGTATTATATAGTTTAAATTTTAATTTTTAAACTTATCTTTCAATAAACATTTTGTACAATTTATTTTATTTAAGTCAAATTAAAATTTTCTTTTCTGATTTATTAATTATTATATTATAACTTATTAGAGGCAAGTAAGCCATAGACTTGGTTCAGGTCCAAATCAAGGAGATGACATAAAAAATCATCGTTTCTTCCAAAAAATTGTGTGGAGAGATATTATTAATCGTTCTTGTGAGGCTCCATATAAACCAAAATTAGTATGTTTGGAATTATTCTGAAATTAATAATTTTCTTTTTTATTAGCGGGATTTAATTTATTTATTAAATCAAATCATTTTATTTTATGTTTTTTCTAAATTAACTTTTGTCTCATTTATTTTCATTTTTTTTTAATTAACTAAAAATGTAGTAAACTTTTTATATTTTTTAATTTTAGGCAGGCGCAGAAGATACTACTCAGTTTGACTCCAGATTTACTAATCAACTTCCAGTTGATTCACCTGTTGAAGACTCATTTATGCCACATGATAATGATGAATTCAAATTTGATGTAAGTTGAGATTAAACTAAAATATTTGTGTTGTTTTATGCATCTTAACTTAATCTGTTTATAATTTTAATTTATGGAGTATTAAAAATAAAAAAAGACATTTGTATTTTGTATAATACATTTGTTTTTCAGGGTTTCACCTACATAGCACCATCTTTATTAGATACTTTTGGAACAAGTACAGGTCGCGACCATGCAATTAATGCTCATCATAGAGCAGAAGAAACTATGGAAAAATCAATGGAAGAAGAAGACCATTTTCCCAAAAATGTAATGCAAAAAAAACAAAAACTTGACCCAAGAATACATAAGTCAACACCAACTATAGTTCAAGCTGGATGCTGTGATTCCAAAAAATCTACAGACCAATTTCATAGAGTGGTATTTTTTTTGTTTATTATAACAGGGGTACATTTTATTATTAATTTTTTTTTTTAATTTTACTCTAGGTACCTAGAAATCTTAATCCATTTAGTGATTTTGAACACATAGCTTCAACTTGTGCCCAATTATCAGCAACTAGGATTGATGAAGAAATGGAAACTGAAAAATCCTCATCTCAATCACCATTACCATCCCCGTACCCAAATGTAATTAGATCTAATCCAGTTGCCATGAATCAACCTCGAATTGTTAGGCCTAATACTACAAATCGTAGAGAAATTGATCAATCAAGGTTATTTGATGCGTGTGCAAGACCTTTTACGAGTCATTCAGCCCGACAACCATATAGACCTCATGTGTTGACTACTGTCAATAGTAATACTTTCCTAAATCAGAACCAAGATGAGATGATGGAAGTTGCATCTACGTCTAGTATTCCAGCTCAAATATAAATGTTAAAGTAAATAAATTTAATATTAATATAAGAGTTTTAATTTAAATAATAATTTTACTTTTATTTAAAGTAATATTTTGATAATATACTCACAATCATGTTACTTTTAATAGCTATATGTGGGTAAGACGTTTAGTATATTCAAACTCTCTTTTCAAAAATTTTTAAATAGTAATAAATAATTGAGGTGGATCCCTACGCCCTTAGCTATATTTATTATATTTTTTAATTCACAATTTTCTAAAATAATCATTTTAATTAATTGAAATTTTTATTTTTTAGGATAATCGTGTTTAGAAGAAGACCCATTTCCAAACAATTGATACTGTTACCTTATTTTGAAGTGATATTTTACTTACCATTGTAGACCTTGGCTACTTGTAATGACTCATTGGTGGTTAAATCATCAAACATTAGAGATTTATTTAAGTCATTGTATAATTTTTTTTTTTAATTTACTAGGGTCATAAATGAAGTAGCAATTTTGTTACTTTAAATAAAAAATAGAAAGAATGTTAATAACCTGTATAGATAAAATATACTTCTAAAATAGTTATGTTAGTATTATTTTTTGTTATTATCCAGTAATTATAATTTAAGTAGTAGCTGAGGTCTAATTTACCATTTTGTTGCCGTAAACTTCATATTGCTCTATTTCAATCTTAATTTTATGTTATTCATTACCTAACTAATTATGGAAATAGTTTTCATTAAAAAGATACCGTGATATTGACATTATCGGTCACCTTGTGATCGCTAAAATTTATTATATTAATTTTGTTTTTCTTTATCTTACCACATTAGAGTTATTGTTATTTAGCTAAATTATTAATCCAGTGTTTTATATTTAATTATTTCTTTATAATTTGTTTTATTTGCCTATTAAAAAATATTTGTGAAAGCTAGTTAATTATAATTTGGGATTAGTATTACTATATAATTAAAAGAAAAGATAAATTGCAAAAGAATTAGTTGCAAATGTTTGGCATTAAGGTTAGTAGACCTTGACCAATTATACCAATAGCTCTAAATTTTACAATTGGGTAATAATGTTTGCTACTTTTAATATTTTGCAATATGAAACTTAAAATAGTTATATATTTTATTGAAAAAAACTTCAATTGTAAAAACTTAATAGTTCATTTTATATGAACTCGCTGCAAAATTTTATTGTTTAGTTTATGTTTAAATCGAATTTAAATATACTTTTGTTAGACCAAATTTTATGTATTATTAGATAAAAGTTCTAGTTTTATTTTTATTGTTTTTTTCCTAGAAAAATTATGGAGTAGTAAGCCTTAGATGAATATTGCAGTAGTTTCTTAACTTTTTTTATTTTTATTTTTGTCAAAACATTGCTTACGTTATTTGATAAAAATAGTAATGAATATACATATTATTATAAATGTCTCATAGATTTAACAATTTATAAAACTTGTGATTATGCAGACTCGTATTTTTTTATTAATGTTAATATTTTTACCAAACCAAATAAAAATATGTTAATTAAGTAACATACATGCATTGTAATTAATACTTTTAAAATTGTTCAATTTTTAATGTACAGAGATTTTTGATGAATTTTAAAACGAAACTACTGTGTTCATTATAGTAAATAATGTGTTATGTTAATTATTATTATATTTACTTTTAAGGCTGTAGGTTATAAAAAGCCTATTATTGTACACCAGTAATGAATTATGAAATTGAGATGAATGTAAAACAATGAATAAATTATCTTGTTTATATTATGTTTGTGTTACTTTAATTATTAAACTAAAATTAAAATTATCTTAAAAATAAATTGTATTTTTTAAATATATAGTTACAGTTATCCATAAACATGCAGGGATTTATATTATGGTCAGTTATGTTTCAATCAGTCTATAATACTTGTATAGCTAATTTTTGATGGAAAAGGTAAAATACTAATGATACTTGTCTTTTGAATAATAATCTGTAAACTCAAAATAAAAATTCAATTTTATTAAGCATAAAAGTTTCTTTCTTACATCCTTAGTATTTTCCCAATACGAAACTTACTGAGGTAGAAAATTACCTATCTCAAAAAACTATTTGATTTTTTTAAATCCTTCTCTATAAAAAATTGTACATTTATTTTGAAATTTATTCGTAAAGTTATTTACGAGACTAGTATATTTTTTCAGGAGTTATAGATTGAAATAGAGGATATGAGTAAAAATAAACAAGTATATTGATCCTCCAATATATATATATATATAATTAAATTTTTTATCTTCTATAAAAAAACATTAATTCACAGTGGTTTGTATGTGGAAACATATCGATAGGCTTAATTGATTCCAAAGTAAATGGAGTAGTTTTTTTGTTTTTTAGTGCTAATTCAACAAGATTTTTCATAGTAGCTGGACTATTAGCTTTGCATGATACATATACAATATTATTAATTAACTTATTTTTTCTTATAGCAGTAATTACTCTTGGATCTGTAAAATTATAATGTAATATTATAGTATAAAAGATGAATCTTTTAACACTAGCCACTATATTTCTCTTAAAAAAAGAAAGAATTACAAAAAGTTATTCTTTTAAGAAAAATTGAGAAGCTAGTGTTAAAAGAATCACCTTGTATATAGTGTATGAGAAAAAACTTACGAACTCCCGCACGGCCAGGATTTAAAACTGTGCATAAATCACTTGTCATAGTAAGTTCTTTTAAAACATTACTCATCACCTAAAAATAACTATTAGATTATTTAGAATACACACTATTTAATATAACATACAGTTTCAATTTTTCCATTAATAAAATCACAATTAGTAACACCATTAATTCTTGCATTTTCTTTAGCATCATCAATGGCTTGACTAACAACTTCAATGCCTAAACATGACTGTACATATTTATTACCAATAATACTAACAGTGCCTAGAATTACACAAACACAATTATTATTTAGTGTGAATTAGTTATTAAATAAAAGTACCAGTTCCAGAACATAAATCAAGTAATGTTGACACTTTAGATGGCTTTAATAATTTAAAGAGTTCATCATACAATACTTCAGCACCCAATGTGTTTATTTGAAAAAAAGAATCGGGAGAAATTCTGAATTTATAACCGCATATATTTTCATAAATATATTTTTCTCCATCAATAAGGATAAATGTAGAGTCTTTGGAACTTCTGGTATGTAAACTAAGAAAATAAATAAATCATGTGATCTTAAAATAATAATAATAACATAATGAAGTATTTTAAAGAATAAATTCATTAAAGATTACATAAAATATTTTCAGTATTTGTTAAATTCAATTTTTGCACAAGGATATTCCTGGACACTATACAATAGGACAAAGGAATGGCATTAATTCATGTTTTTAAATTATATATTTAATATTCACTAAAAAAAACTACATTACTATTTCAAGAAACTACAAAAATCAGATTCTTATTTAAAAAAAAAACTGAATTCGATTCATTTTTTTAAATAAGGAAGAAGGAACAGACTTACATATTTATTAAGATGAACACTGACTTACTAGCACAAAATTGTTTATCTTATCTAATGTACTTTAAATACCCATTATATACTCAAAATAATACATACCTAGGATGATAATACAGTGATTTTATATCAAAACTTTTTTTTTTAAAATGTGAAACAAGTTTATGTTGTTCATCTAACATAACTTGATTTGAGTATCCTCTAGGATTTGCTACTACAATACACATGATATCTCCTTCTAAATTACTTCGTACTACAATTCCTCTCCAAAAACCACCATCTAAATGATCATAACTTACGGGTAAAGCAGATTGCCTTACATACTCTTGAAAATTCTTAACAAAAAAATAAGTTTTATAAGGAAAAAAAATTGAAAAATCTTAATGAAAATTAATTTGAATAAATTACCTACTTGAGCAATATTTAAATGAGATTCCTTCATATTAATTAAATTTTTAGGTGAAACACAATAAATATTCTCTTTAGCTGGACTTCCAACAAAAAATCCTAGAGTTTTAGGATTTCCATCTATACCTGGACGAAAGTTATATTCATCTTTATTTCTATATTTATCTATTTGTGGCTAAAAATAATTATTTTAAGTAAAATGAAAATTAATTTTTGTTGTTAGTATGAGTAATTACTGATGGTGAAATTGAATACACTTTTGGTAATACTATGGGTGACTTTGCATTGTGTAATTTAGCACGTAATTCTTTTGATATTTTATAAGCCCAAGCTTGTTTTTGTAGCAACTGATTCTGATAAGGCATTGAACATAAGGGTGTTATAATATTTTCTAATATTTTGAATTGAGTATCGACTGACATATCTGTTAATAAATCATTAGTAACTTTACTATTTAGAAGTGAACTCTGTAAAAAAGTATATAATAAATAATTTTAATACATCTCAATAATAATAATTAAAAGATTTCTAAAATAATTACAATTTTATATTTTAATTAACATAAAACATATTTAATTAGACCACCTAATAAAATTTCAAACAAAGAGAAAATTAATAATATTGATAAATTTTAAATAAGCATATTTTAAACAGGAATTATAAACATGCTTTTAAAATATAATAAAATTTGTATCCAGTAATTACATTAATGTACAAAATAACAAGCCTCTTCAAGTGCATACTTAAAAATATACTAATACAAAAATTAAAGTATTAACACTAAACACATACTGTGTTTAACACTGATGATGGTGACAATGTTTAAGAAATAATTTAAGCAAGATTTTAGTAATTTTTATATCTTTATGAGTTTAATTTGAGAATATTTTTAGTTTTAAACTAGTAATTTAAATTTTAAATAATATTACTAGTCCTACTATTTAAAACATTAGTTTACAAAACCTCTTACAATATAAGTCTATCAAAAATACAAAAGTCCATACTTTATAATGAAAAACTGGTATTTTAAAAATATATTTTAATCATTTTTAGTAACTTTAAAACAATTACATTTTACCTTTTTACGATTTTTCACCCATTGATAATTAAATAAGAATGATTGGCCAAACAAACGTTTCATTTTTAACTAAAAACTATATATAAATATGGTTTATGATCCTTCGAGAAAGTTTTCTTAGTTCATAAATGTAATTAATAATAATTAAAAACAAAATCTTTTTTGAATCAGAATTCTTAGGTATTATTTCTGGACTAATTTTGTTCATAAAAATTAAAATAAAGCTTAATTGACTTTTTTTAATATTACTAGTTTTTGTAGTTTTAGCATAAAAATTTGATAAAACTGTTATCAAATCTTTCTACTTCGGGGTCTCTTTTTATCAGTCGGCTATCATTAATAATGAAATATATAAATATTATTTATGAACATTTTCAGTAAGGAATCAGGTAAATTGTCATACACAATGAGAACAATAGAAACTCGTTTCCTTACTTACTGAACATTCTACATGTACCACAGATTATATAAAATTTTTTCGTATAGTTTGTGTATTTATATTGTACAAATATTTAAAATTGTATAACTAAAAAAAAATTACTACTGATTTCGCTATAATACATAACTTACATTTGATCAATTTTCCAAGAACAACTAAAAACTAATTCATAATTTTTTTAACAATCATGAAGTTTTATATATATTTATGCGTTTTTAATAGACAACAAGAAAAATAGCTTTTTTTTTTAGCTTAAATGCGAAGCTGAGAAGATATTAATTTTACTATGTTTTTTATTTTTCTGTGTCTTACCACTTTTTCTCAGTTCTCACCCAACCAATTTCTTTCAACGATACGTTAAAATATCACAAATCGTATCTAGTCGAAGACATTTCTTTCAAAAATTGAAAAAATTTCTCTCGTACCCCGTAAAAAGGGGGAAACTCCAAAAAAATTACAAATTTAAAAATCGCTAATTTTCGAAATTTTTTACTTAAAACTGCAATAACTTTTTGAAAATGTATAGATCAATACAATTTTTTTTGTAGATACATGAGATATTTCCATATAATTTTTATAAATCTGACCCTTTACTTGTCCACAGGAAGGGATTCAAAATGACTACTATTTCATAAAACATTAACTTTTACAACATAACTTTTGAAAGTGTTCCGAATATACTGACACTATTATATATATTTTAAATTAAAGTTTATGTAATATACTTTATTATTGGAAAAAAAATTTTTCGAACTTTATTTTGTCTTCACTGTGAAAATTACTACCGTATGCTATATTTGTGTTAAAATTTTTGATTTTATATTTTTAATTTATATTTCTATAAATTTTTGAAAAATATTTGGATTAATACGATTTTTTTTATGATAATTCTATTTATATATCTCTTTCAGTCGACATATTTTTTGAAGTAAAACTTCTTTTTAGAGGGTCCGAAAAAAACATTATCTAGCGTCACGGTCTGCTGTAAAGTATATTTTATATTATAATTTAGCACTGTATTTTCAAAAATTAAAGTAATTTTATTTAATATGTATGAGTTAATTTAATTTCAAATATTTTTGATTGTGCATAAAAAAATTTTAAAGAACCACACAATAAGTAATTTTCACACAATGACTTCTAATGAAAAAAGGTTTTATTCATCCGCGCGTACTCCAAACACGCACTGGTTTCTTTTATTAAATCGAGTCATTTTCCTTAATACGTGGGGGGTTTAAAACTTAAAAATGCATATAGAAAGTAGAACTTTTTAAACTATACTTTAATATGGAAAAAAAAAAATATTTCGAACTTTATTTTGTCTTCATAGTGAAAATGGTTACCGTATTCAAAAACATGCTATTTTTGTGTTGAAATTCTCGATTATTAATTTATTTATTTTTTTAGCTCTTACTTGACCAACTTTTTTTAGCAATACATCAAATGATTATAATTATTATCTAGTTAAAGATATGACCCTCAAAAATTAAAAAAAATTCTACTTTATCAATTAAAAAGTTACTTAACCCACATTCTCTATATAGACAATTAATATCATTCATTTCTAATGTTTTTAAAATATTTCTTGTCGAATTCAGTTTTGTTAGAATATAAATCATAAATCTAAAAAAAATTATTTCTAGTTTCACCTGAATTTAACAAAAAAAATTTACAATTGTAATTAAATTATATAATACGCTCAATCGAGTAGATTTTTTTAACAACATTTTGATTGGTTTTATTAGTTAATGTAAATCATTAAAATGAATTAAGTTCTGAATATTTTAATTATTGAATCTTTTTAAACAAAATAAATTACATAGAAATGATTACTATGATTTCTATTTAAGTGATCTATTACACTGAAAATGCAAATAATATATTGAGCTTTTCTGATAAACAGTAATTATACAATTTCGTGACTGTATATTATCTTAACAATACTATCTTTTTAATTCTTGTAAAATTTTCTATTTAATAATGAAAATTTCAAATTTGAAGTTAAGCTAAAAGTTATTGCAATAAATTCATTTTTTTTGTATTATAAACTTTCACAAAAAAAGTAGTTTAAAAATGATTACTATTAACATATTAAAAATCAAAATCGATAATAATTTAAAAAAAATTAATTATAAAAACTATATAATATATAATTAAAAATACACATATGTATATATTATATTTTTGAATCCAAGAATTACTAATCTGGATATAATTAAGCAAATAGAAGTTGACGTTGCTTTTGTTATTATCTACCAATTTCTTAGAATTAATCACTATCTACAGATTTGCATTGAAGCGTTTCTTATGATAGTGGTTTTAATCACTGTCAGATTAAATCTATACTTGACTACTATGCAACGTCCCCACTGTGCTGGGATTTTTTTTATCGTAATAGATAATATCAAAAGAAATATTAATATTTCTATGTAACTCTTGGTGTTTAAATAGATGATACAATTGAAATATTCAGAACTATTTCAATTATAGTTTTTTACTAATTAATAATAATATCAACATTTATTGGTGATAGAAAAAATATAATTGCTGATTTGAAATTAGCACGAAAAATTGAATAATAAAAGTATATTTTTGATTCCAATGAAATTTTTTTGCAGACCATTTACTCATAATTAACAATAAATTATCATTTAAAAAACTTTGTGTCAAGCCCTTCAATGTTTATACACGTTTGCTATAAAAATAATAAGTACTTTATAATTTTTTAAAATTCTCCAAAAAATACAATGTTAAATTATTAAATATCAATCTCATACTATTTAAATTGCTACAATAAATATTTATTCATATATTATACTTCTACATCAAAAAACTACTAATCAGGAATAATAAATGAAATAAGAATGAATTTTTCTTTTAGTGTAATCCATCAATTACTTAAAATTAAATACTATCTATAGATTTGCATCAAAGCGTTTCTTACGATAATGATTTTAATCACTGTGAGATATTATCTATACTTGTCCCAACTATTTCACGTTTCTTAATTCTAAATAAAAATACATGCTATTATTATTAAATTGGTATTTTAGAGGAAAGTAACTCATAATACGATAGAATAACTTGTTTTAAATTATATTCTTGGAAATATGAATTCAATGATATCAAAAGGTCAGTTACGCGTTGAGACAAATCAGTAGCGATATGTTAAATGACTATATAAATGTATACTACATTAATATAGTTAATATATTAGGAATAATAATACTATTTTTCTGTTATGACTCTGGTTCTATCACAAAATGATACGAATGAAGATAATTGTGTTTTAGTTTGTAGATCATGCAGGCACGGATCTATAAGATATTCTAGGAAGAGATCATTTTGTTATCTCTGTTAGTATAAGACAAAGTTCTAGGTAGTGAAAACTTTTTAGTATTCAAAATTTGAGAAATATCTCATACATACCCGTGGTTCATTTATAACTTTTATTTTTAATTTAATTATAAAATCTTGATATTTGAGTAATTGGTTTTTTTCTTTTCTTCTAATTGTTAATCATTTAATAAAAATATAATTAAATATAATCCAAAAATAATAACTTTAATTTATAATTAATGAAAAACAAAACAAACAATTTAATATTGATAAAATATTAATTATTTCAAATAACATCATTATGAGTATATTATTAAAATATAAAATAATGAACACTTAACTTAAATAATAATACAATCCAAGAATTTTTTAAGGATTTTTTTGTTGAAAAAAATAAAATCCAGTTTTATAAGTTTAGTTCTCACAATTATCAACTAGATGACTAAATATGAGTAAAACTGTATATAGTTCATTTACTAACGTAGGTATTCTAAAATTGACATAGTATTTATTTAGTTTAATTTATGAGCAGTCATATATATGATTATCTAGACACAAAATAACAATATATTTAAAATAATTTGATAACAAAATTATTTTTTTTTTACTAATAAAATAATAAGAACTTGTAATAAAATTTACCATGAATATTATTTTACACCTTTATCCATTTTACAGAAAAATAATGCATTAAAGTATACAATTTGTTATAATTAAGCTAGTAATAACCAAACAATAAATATAACTGCAATCCATAAGAAAAGTTTTGACAAATAATTATCATCCTGTTGCATCTGACCTACTGGAACTAATAATATTGGTTAAAAAATAATATTTAGAATAAAAGTTATACTTTTTTACCTCCATGAGGACGATCTGAAAAGTTAAATGATGTTAAAAAACCAAATGGAAAAGCTCCTATTCCAAATGATAAATGAAAACCACCATCTCCAAAATTAAATCCTGGAAATCCCTTTAAAAAACATCATTAGTTTAATTTTAAACCAACATTTTACAATGATTGATTAAAATGTTTTAAATTCTTACTGTGTTAGCATCTGGTTCAGTTCTTTGACCAGCAGGTCTTGGTGGCACTTTATTTCTAAAAATTTTCATTCACATTAGCATAAAACAAATTATATTATATAAATAACAATATAATTAGTCTATTTTAAATGTAATAGATTAATTTTACTCTTAAGTGGGTAGATAGGCAAAATGCTGTAGCTTGAGATTATGATAAGAGATAATACAAGCATTATGGGTATAAAAAATATAAATATAAATTAATGATTTTTTTTTTTTTAATAGCCTTTATTAAAATAATATTTAGCTCAACAATTATAAATAAAGAAAAAATAAGTAAATTAGAAATATAACAGTAACAGTGCTAAGTTATAATGGTATAACAAATATGTCAATAATTGTTAGTATACTCAAAAATAAAGAAAAAATTAAATATTATTAAAATTATTATTAATAGAGATTTAAAAGTACAACTAAAAGAATTACTAAATTAAAATTTTTATTTGAAATAATGGAGGAAGAGAGAAAGTAAATAAATAAGTAATAAATAGAAAAATATAAAATAAAATAATGAGAGATTAAATGACAACTTGAGGAACTCCTCAAGAAAGATATGATTGAAATAATAATAAAGGAAGAATGGGAATTAAGAGTATTAACTATGGAAGGGGGATTAATATTGTGGTAGGCTAAGAGGCTGAATAGTTTATTTCTGCTGTTAATTAGGGCAGGACAATCAAAGAGAAGATGTGAAAAATCGTATAGAGCTTGTACTATCATGTAGAGGACAGAAGGGAACGGAATTTAAGGAAAGATGGAATGCATGGTAAGGCAGAAGATTATGACCTAACCTAAGTCTTGAGTACTGAGAAATGATATTTTTGGATAAGTCAAGGTTATGAAACCATGGAGAATGAATAATGGATGGAGAAATCGAGCGGTACCAACATACAGTTTTCAATTTTATTGTAGCCCAACTGTCCTGCCAGGCTTGAAGAACCATCTGTCGAAAGAGGCGGAGAAAGTCAGAAACGGGAATCTTATGGCTAGAAGAAGTAAAGAAGGGAGAAGTAGAAGTAGCAAGACGGTCAGCTGTTTCGTTACCTAATATACTGGCGTGGCCCGGCACCCAGTGAAAAGCAATAGATTTATTTTGAGATCGAATTAAGGAGATAAGTGATCTAATAATATGAATGTAAGGAATAAATTAATGATTAATAGTGATTATTATCATTAGCAAGTCTTAAAAATATATTGTCTGTGAAAAGGTATAAAGATGTAAAGGCATTAATTTTCCTAAAATTGATAGTTGCTTTTGATTTTTGATGATTATTAAGCATTGAAATATTATAGACTCGAAATTATTTTAGCAAGTTTATTATTTTTAACTCAGAAAGTGATAACAATCAATTATCAATTATTCTTTTTTGTCTTGTACCAGTTAGCTATCATCATATTTAAATAATCTCTTTATGTAATAAATCATTACGATTAATAATTGATCATAAATCAAAAAATTAGTTTATCTTAAAATAGGTATATGATGATTAAATTATCAAGGCACTTTGATTAGTTTATAATACATTTTCCTAATACCATACATTTAGTTTGGAAAATAATAGAAATATACTTTTATAAAGAGAGTTTAAAAGATGAATTATTTAGTTAAGTATCAATTTTAGTTTAACCCATAGCTAAACTTAAAAAATATTTAAATTTTTGATAAAATGTATTTTAATTGAACTAAATAACAAATAAAAATAAACTCAGAATAAATTCATAAAAACATTTTAAGGGATAGATATAATTAAAAATATTAATAGGTAGTATATGATTTTCAATGTTTACCTAGGATCTTCTTGTTTGGTGTTACCGCGGCCATATATTGGTATTACTTTATCTTTACTAATGACTGCTTTACAAACTGGACAAACTTGACGACTAGATCTAGTTTCTAACCATTGATGTAAACAAGGCCAACTAAAAATTAAATACTTGATAATAATAAATAATATTATAGCATGAATTAATTAAAAAAAAATCTAAACAAAGATATAGAACATCTATAATTTTATTTATTTAAACTAAAAATTAGTATAGAGAATAAATACCAACCAAAACAGATGACCACAAACGCTGACAACTGCATCTTTAGCATTATCCAAACATATATTACACTCGTACATATTGTTCTGTTCATCTTTGCTTTCATTATCTTTGTTGTCAGTGTTTTTGCGTGAAGAATCAGATTGATTACTTGCGGTTGCCATTTTAATCTGTAATATATATCAATGTTTCATTAATTTTTGAATTATACACGATTTTTTAATAAAATGTATTCCAAGGTAGAAATAATTCATTTCAATTTAGTTTTTTGAAATTAACCATTTTTACTGTTCAATATTAAGTTTTATAAAATTAAATTGTTAATAAAATAATCACTGACGTACTTAATCAAAATAATCTCTTGTCATGTAAATTATATTTAGCGGATAAGTGTTATAATTTCGCAAATATTAATGCCTTATTTCATTAAATTGATACTACGAAAAATTACTATATGTTCAAAATGGTTATAAATAAACGAGTCTTATTTTTTCAAAAATACCAAAATGAGATAATTTTTAATTAATAATTCAAATATGTATTTGGTTAAAATTCTGATAACTAAACGACATTAAAAAATATTGAAGTAATTTTGTGGTATTGTTATGGATAATTGTTTTTAACATGTTTCATATGTATACAAAATAGAATATATTATTTAATTAGTGCAAGTGTTATCTATTTATTAAAATGTTATCAATAATTTTCCATCGATGTAATACGTAAGACTGGTGAAGTCACCGATGACCTATTTAAATATTCCCGGTTTATAACATTGAGGTTATGTTGTGGTTTAGGCGTTAAGCTGAATACTGTCTCAACTATTGTAAAATTGTTATTCAAAATATGAAATAAGTAGTTAGATTTTCTCGTTTTGATGAAGATTATAACAGCTATTATTGCTGTTTAGTAAATTATTGATTTTTTAACTAAAAATAAAATTTCGTGTTTGAAAATTATACTAAAGCTGTTGTCAAATTTTGAATTGTTACTTATAGTTGGTCAAAGTTATTAAAATTTAATCATGTCGCTTGTGTGTGCTAGTAAGTTAAATTGTTTATTTAATAGACTTTTATGTTATTTAGAATATTTTTATTTTTGTGCTGAAGTTTCGAACTGGTTGCAGAGTTCAAAACGTCAGCATAAAAGTGGATACATGAATATATTAAAAAACATTTTAAATAATAAAACCACCCAGAAAGTTTTAATACATTTAGGTCCCTATGTTATATAATTTTAATTTTACAAAATTAATTTGTCATTTTTAAAAATATGCATTTAAAGAATTTGCATAGTTAATGTTTTAAAAATCTTTGTAATAAATAATTCTAAAGATAGGCTTCAGAGTTTTCTACTGTGGACTTGTAAATATTAAAGTGGATGTGAAAATAATACTGTACTGTATAAATAAAACATAATCGTTGATTAAAAAATACTTATCAAATAACATGGTATTTAAATGTATGATAAGCTTTATTTAAAAGAGTCTTATAGATTATATAAATAGATTTTTTTTATTGAAATTTTATTTCAAATAGTGTTCATTTTAAATATAATAACACATTTAAACATTCTATTGTAATCTTCCTTCTACAGCAGTAATTCCTTTTATAAGCTGAAAAAAATGATTATAAAAGTATAACTATTTTTGTAAATAAAATACTTATTTTAATCTAATTTGTATCAAATAGATTTGGCTCTTTAAATTTATGATGTATTTTTCTATTATCAATATTTATTATTAATTGTAGTAGTTCATCTAAACTAAACATTTTACAAAAAAAATAATGTTACATTCATAATTTGCCAAATTTTTTAATATATTTTTATTATTGTTTTATAGTTTCAAATGAAGTTCCTGAACAACCTGTTGTGTCACCTGTGTCTGGTTCAGTTTTTGAAAGAAGGCTTATTGAAAAATACATTAAAGAAAATAATACTGACCCTGTAAATGGAGAAGAATTAACTGTTGAACAGCTAGTTGACATTAAAAGTAAGATGTTATATAAAAAGTAAGACAATGAGTACTTTTTTATAGAAGTACTTATTGAAGTTGTTTTATGTTAAAATAAATTAATTTTTACCTGTATTTCATATTATTAACTTATAATAGTTTTAAAAAAATGTTTAATGATGTTATAAATTTAAATTTAAATTGTAGCTGCCCCAATAGTCAAACCTAAACCTGTAACTGGTACTAGTATACCAGCAATATTAAAAATGTTACAAGATGAATGGGATGCAGTCATGTTACATGCATTTACTCAAAGACAACAATTGCAAACTGCTAGGCAAGAATTAAGTCATGCTTTGTACCAACATGATGCTGCTTGCCGTGTAATAGGGCGTTTGACTAAAGAAGTAACAGCTGCTCGTGAAGCGTTGGCTACACTTAAACCTCAAGCTGGATTATCTGTCAGTGATGCAAATGCTGGACCTACTTCTATACCTCAACCAGTAATGATAATAAGTTTTATATTAATTTTTTATGGAAACTTATTTGAAAATATTACACTATTTAAAAATAGGCCATTGCAATGGAAGCTGCTGGTGTGCCCAATCAACCAACAGAAGAAGCTGGCATTACTGATGAAATAATTAAGAAATTACAAGATAAAGCTACAGTTTTGACACAAGAGAGAAAAAAACGTGGCCGTACAGTTCCTGAAGATTTAATGGATCAAGAGTCTTTGAAATCATTTAAAACTTTGGCTTCTCATCCAGTAAGATATTTTCTTTTGATATTTAAGAAATGAATAATAATTTTTTTAATGTATTGATAGGGTCTACACAGTGCAAGCGTACCAGGAATATTGTCTTTAGATATCCATAGCGAAGATACCAGTAAAATTCTTACTGGTGGAAATGACAAAAATGCTACAATTTTCAATAAAGATACTGAACAAATTGTTGCTGTATTAAAAGGGCATACTAAGAAAGTTACTAGAGTTATTTACCATCCTAACGAGGTAGAAAAATATCTTAGTCAGACTATTTTATAATTTGTTACACTTTCATGAATTTGTTTTCGTTGTCTAATGTTTTGTCAAAATGCATTTTTTATTTAGGATATTGTAATTACTGGATCACCAGATACAACTATAAGAGTATGGAATGTTGGTGCTTCAAATCCTTTATCACAAATAATTAGAGCTCATGAAGGTTCAGTAACTGGTGTATCATTGCATCCTACTGGTGATTATGTTCTATCAACATCTGCTGATCAAAATTGGGCATTTTCTGATATCCGAACTGGAAAACTATTGACAAAGGTAATATTATTTTAATGACTATTATAAAACATTTGTATAAATTGCAATCAGTTGAATACATTTTTTTTTTTTTTAATATATTTAGGTATCAAGTCAAACTTCAAATAATACATTAACTACTGGTCAATTCCATCCTGATGGCCTTATCTTTGGAACAGGAACTTCAGATTCTAATGTTGTTATTTGGGATTTAAAAGAACAATCAAATGTTGCTACATTTTCGGGTAAAGGAAAATTTACTAATTTTTTGTCTTCCGAGTTCTGTTGGGATAGCTAAAGATGGATTAAAAAAGCCATAATATCCCCCATTGGACAATGATTACTATTAACAGTATATAACAGCCTCCACAAGCAAAAATTTTGGCTATGCCATTACTAAGTTCTTTTAAAATCATCTATTATAATATTTATCTCCATATATTATATATATATAATGACTAGTCTTCACCTAGCTGGGACTCTGCCCCAGACCCTCCTTTTGCTAATGAGGCTCTTTGAGCCGTCCTTATAAGTAAGTCACTGATTTTGGTAGAAATACCCAACTACGCCAGGCATGATGTGTTTTCCAGAAAAAGTATTATTTTAGAATCAGTGTAACAAAAATATACTAAAAGTTTAATTTTTAAATAAGGAACTGCAAAAAGAGAAAACAGTAAAATGTATTGGATATAAGGTAAACATTAGTTTACTGAGATATTCATAAATAATTTTAGGAGTGTTAATAAACTGTACTATGCTGATAATGTATGTACAAACATATACTTTTAACCGTGCTGAAATTTATATATGTCTCAAACATTGATAAAATATACAAAACGTATTGAAATGCACACACCCAAAGTCTTATCCTAATAAAAACTATGTATGTATATTTTCAAAATTTTGAAGCATTCTAAATAACATTCCCAGAATATCGTTTTTTTTCTTTGTTTTATTACATAATAAGACTTAAGTGAAACTAGTCATAGGTTATAGAAAAAAATACACACACAAAACTACTTCATAGTATAATTTATACTTTTAACTTAGTATAGATGCAAAGAAAAATTAATTAAATTTTTTTTTCTTAGGACATTCTGGACCAATAACAGCGATTTCTTTCTCTGAAAATGGTTATTACCTTGCTACATCAGCTGATGATAGTTGTGTAAAGTTATGGGATTTAAGAAAATTGAAAAACTTTAAGACCCTCGTCATGGATGATGGTTATGAAATCAAAGATTTATGTTTTGATCAAAGTGGAACATATCTTGGAGTTGCCGGAACAGATGTTCGGTGAGTATATTTTAAGTTTTACTTCTAATACCATGTAGCGTCAATTGAGATGAATAAGTACTTACTGTTGTAAATATTATTTTTGAATGTATATTATACATACTAAATGCATTTATAGATAATATGATTTAAAAAATTCAGAGCATTATTTTATATAACTTTTGTTTTCTTATTTTTTAAAAACTAAAAACATTATTTAGATGAATTTTTTATTTTATCTCAAATGCTTGTGGAAAATTAAATTACTCATTTAAGATATTTATAAAATAAATTCATTTTCAGGCTTAAAAATTTTAATGATTTGAAATTAAAAAAGTGTTGGTATAATCGTAATGAAATTTATTTATTTATTAGTTATACTTTAAGAAAATGTTTAAATCTTATGAATAATGATGAATAAACTGTTATAAAATGTTATACAAATATTCTAATTGCGTTCCTACTTAAATAAAAAAAAAACAGTTTAAAGTTAAGATTAACATTTTTTTGACTTGGTATATTAGTATTTATCTCTCAATTTATAAGTGATTAAATATTTTTAAAGTTCATCTCTTATCTTCTAAAAGTATATCAACTTAAGAGAAAAATGAGATTATAAAAATAACCCACATTTTGCCCTGAATATATATATATATATTCAAGTGTTAATAACTTTCAAAATACCAGCACAAAAGTTGTGAGCTACCTATCATTTACTTTAATTGGATAATTTTCTATTATAGAGAATGTTCAATAACTAAGGAAACACTTCAGTTGTTATAAACAATAAAAACAGTAGATACCCGTTTCCATTCTTATTGAACACCTATATAAGCTATTTTATTATGTGTGTTGCCATTAAAAAAACAATATGTTGATATTTTTATAAGATATAGGACTAAAAAATATTTAATTACATATAATTTGAGAAATAAATGATACTTAACATAACAAAATTCTCAAAATTATTATTTTAGGAAAAATTTAGTAGGTATCGAATAACTAATTAAACTGTAATTTAAAATCACCATGATGTTGAGTTCAAATCTGTTTTAAAATTCTTAACACATCATTAGTTTTGTTACAATTATAGAATAAAAATTGATTGTATTTGACTTCTGAGCAATCAATACCCAGATGCTTTAATAAAAAAATGGCACCTACTGTTTTATATTTATATGAGTTGATCAATCTCTGAAGATTTAAAGGAAAGCAATGATTACTTAGCTTTAAGAAAATTAAAAAAAAAATCTTTATTTATTTATTTATAATTTTATGGTTTTTGAAATAAATTATTTAAAATAACAAAATTTAATTAAAAATAATTATAAATACAATTTAATTGAAAATGTATTGTTGTTCATTATTACATATTAATATAATATTAAAAATAATAAATTATTTTTAAGTTTTCATTTCCTAAATAAAATTATTTATTTTTGTATTATTATTATTATTATTATTATTTTTATTTTATTTTATTATTATTATTATTAGTTGATTAGTTATTTTTGTTAATATACTAAATTTAATAGTTTTTTTTCTTTAGTGTTTACATGTGCAAACAATGGCAAGAGTTAAAAGTATTCAATGATCACACAGCATTAGCTACTGGTGTTAGGTTTGGAAAGAATTCTCAATATATTGCATCTACAAGTATGGATAGAACATTAAAGCTTTATGGAATTTAGTTGTAAAAATTGACAAGTGTAGTGTTTAAGGACTGTTAAATTAATATTTTTTTTTTATTTTTAGTATTTCATGAGACTATTTGTATTAAAGATAATTACAATAAATTTTAGCTTAACAAAACTCTTAATCATTTAATTATTGAAGTGAATGAAATTCAAAATATATATTTTAAGGTGAATTATAATGTGTTTGTAACTTATTTCAGTTAATTCTTCATGTATAACTGTAGAATTATCACGTTTATAATTAGAATTTTAATATGATTTTGGTATTTATTTGAATTATAGTTTAATAAATGAATAGATTTAGTTTCTATCCAAAGATCAGTTTAAATATACTTAAAAATTTTTTTTATTTTTTAAGGCAAGTATTGTTTTTTATTATGGTTGCAAAAAAAATAATTGATTCTTTTAAGGCCAAAAATTGCTTTAATTAAAAATGTTTTTTTATATTTTTACATTATTTTTTCTAATACTTGAAACTAATATTATACTTAACTCAAAAATCTGTATTTCGACATTTTTAATTAATTGGTCTGAACAGTTAAAAAAATAATCATCACAATACATTTTAAATTTGGTTAATGTCCATCTGTGGTAAAATTAACTGTATTATTAAAACATAACCATTATCTCAGATTTTTTTAGAATGGACAAATTTTTGACTGGCTTATTATTTCACAGAGTTATTTGTAATTCATTTCCTAGTGCTTATTAATTTTTAGTTTTAGTTTTTAAAGAGGAGAGCAAGAATTGTCCATACACTCCGTTCTGTAAGTCTTATTGTGCGTATCTCATACTGAATTATATTAATTTGATTACTTTACTAAAATGTTTCACCAAAGCACTACTTATTGCACCAATTATAATAATTGCCATGACAAAATTTGTTTAAAATTATTTTGACAAAAATTAATAATTTTTTATGAATGGACTTTTAGTTAAAAAAGATAATAAGTAAAATTATATACATATTCATTTATTATAAAAGAAATTTTAGTAAAAACTATCTAATAAAGACACAATTAACAAAATTATCACTTTAAACATACATTTGTAGGTTTCGAAAAATACATAAAAACAGTTGTAATATAAGTTAAACAATTATGAACAAAATAATTACAAAACTTTTTTTGATGTTTGGGCTATTTGCAGTGTTGTAAATTGTATAATATTGTATTATACAAAACAATATTATACAAGTGGTATTGTAGAAAAACAACTATGTATTATGAGTTATTAATTGATAAAGCATTTAATTATGTATTGTGCTTATAACTTTTTTTTACTGTTTAGAAACTTATAAATTTTTAAAATTGTTATAAAACTACCCTTTGCCTACCTAACTAACTTCATTAAATAAATGGTTAAAACTGCAAAAGGGTGATTAATCTATTCGTAAATTTTTTTTTTATCAATTTATCTTAGAAAGTTGTAACTATATAATTTACTATAAAATGGAGTCAATTCCGATCACCCATAATTCATATATATTGTTTAATAATTAAAGTTTACTATAGAATTATACAATATTTTAGACAGTTTTTTCATATTTTCTAGAAAATTAGCAAAACCTATAATCTTTAAAGTTGGCGATTTAACTTACGTCAATAACGTAGTCAGAATTTCTTAAGAGGAATGTGTAATAGTCGAAAAAATCTCAACATACCCATTTGTAGGACCTGTTTTCTTTTAAATTTGTACACTACAATCAATTATTATACAGCCAAACAAAATTACGATTTGGGTTACGGCATCATATTAAATATTATCGAAAGCATAGCTTTTACTATTTTACACAGACTCGGTGAGTTTGCAATTGAAATGAACCGAAGACTCTTAAATCTGAATAATTTTTTAAGTTAATTTCTTAAATTACTGAATACAATTAAGGTTGTAATCGAAAAATTAAATCTGCCAACTTCGAAAGGTTATATTAATTGTGTAAAAAATCAATTTGCGTATTATCATCGAAAATATTCTAAAATTGAATACACATTAGTTGATAAGCGTTTTGATAATAGAATGGAACTATGTATGGATAAAAGAAAAATAAATTTAACATTAGTGTACTCAAAGAATTTTATAAGTATATCATTTGTGTAGATGACTCGAAGATGGATGAATTACGAGAAAAAATCGTTAAACAAGGATTTGAGTATTTTTCAGAAATACCAAAACATGGAGATTATGTTAAAATGATTTTAAATAAGTAACTTTAATGGTTTAGTGAAGTGTTCACTAATAAAACATGAAATTAAACTTTTCAAAAGTTTAAATTAAAACCTAAAAAAATCAAATCAAGTCAACATACAAGAATTAATATTTGTGCATAATAAAATGATAGTTATAGTTCTTATATATATGCGTTTTTAATCTTATTAGTTTTAAATTATTTCAATTTGTTGTTGAGTTAATTTTTTGTACAAATCATGAATATTTGGTAAATAAGTTCAGTTATACTATTTTAGAATTTTTGTCTAATATATTGACTATGTGTTATCTACATTGTTTTCATATCGACATAGAAAAAAGATATTTGTAATAAAAATTAGAAGAGTGTATTTAAATTTTAATATTTCCCTTCTCTGGATCAAACTTGATCCCTTTCTGGATCAAACAAAAAATGTTTATCTGTTTTTCTGAGGTTAATAATGATGATTAAAAGAAAAACTATAAAAAACTGAACACACTCATTTTTTTAAAACGAAGTTTGGGTTGAAACACTACATGCTCAAAAATGTTCGTGATCTTAACCCTTAAACAGTCGCGTGGGGGTCTAGCATACCCCCACATAAATAAAAACAGATGTATTATATTGCATAAAAGGTGTACATAGATATAAATTTAGAAGATGGTTTTTATAGTAATATTGAATCGATTTTCATAAATAAATACTTTCGAAAAAAAAATGTATGACTTAAAATATCCATCAAAGTTGAAATGGGTCATATTGACACCCACGCGACTTGTAACGTTATAATTTTTTTTTGGACTTTTATTTTTTTCAAAATATCGTTTTATTGTAAATGCAATGTTATAATCGATATAATATTGTGGAATTGGGATTATGTGGATCTGTCACCGACTGTGCAATTAAGTTTTAAAAATAAATAATCTATTTAGAATTTCCACTACTCGATGATACGGAACAAATAAGAACAAAACATGTAATAAATACGTCGCGTCGTAATGTGGACACATTGATTATCGGTAATCGATGTGCTACTATGAACGAATAATTGTATATACTCGTGTCATAATAATTAAATGTATTGTAATATTAATAATAAAAAAAATCAATTAAGAAAAATGATTATATAAATGTAAATACACATAAAACTAATAAATATAAGCCGTGTTTCAGCTCAAAGACATACAAGAAAAATTAATTAAAATACATTTTGTAATAGTAAAAGCTTTTATTTACCGTCTTAAAAATAAGATTTTACAGTTAAAATAATTTTTTTACAAACCAAAATTTTTTAATGAAATTTTGTTAATTAAGTTTTTTTTTTTTTCGTAATATAATTTTTAGTAATGCACATAATTTTGTCATTTATTTGTTTTAATTTTTTAATTTTTATCCATATTTATATATCATATACTAACAAATAATGTCTTTGAATTAAAAAAAATGAACTTTTTTATACATATTTTATATTTTTTTAGAAATGAGGTCTAATAGACCCCCACGGGACTATGAACGTTAAAAATAGGTACGTGCCTGCTTAAGGGTTAAATGATGATTTTTTGTACGTTTATTTTGAAATAAAACTTATTTAATATATTGAAACAATATTAAATAAATGTTGAAAACTGCCTAATTTTGATGGTGCCGTATCTTAAATGAGGATATACATAGTTAAGAATTTAATAATTAAAGAGAGATATTGTCCAGTACCGTTAAAAAATGGTTTCAAATTATATGTTTATAATAATGGAAGCATACCAATATCAAAATCGTTTGATAAAACATTAAAATTATAATAGCTTATACAAAGTAATTGGTATCTTAAAATACAAGGTGATTTATTAAGCATACTATCGCGCCATTTTTTCGTTAAATAATGATTTTTTTTTATAAAAATGTATAAATTAAAATTTAATTAATTTTTATAAACCGTTGTAAATGTAAAGTTTTTTATAAGAAAAATTATCCCTAAAGGTATATTTTAGGCGTTACTTTCGAAAGATAAATGGGCACTTATTTTACTATTAAATGGAGAATGGTCTAAATAAAATGTTTACCACTTTTGTATAATTACTTTTTGAGTTGTTATAATTGATGGTGATGCGTAATGTAGAATTGTTATCTGTGAGTTATGGTAAAATTAGAGGAAGGCTAACAACTATCTCGTTGCTCACCTTTTTTTAATCTTCAAACGTTAACATCTTAAAAAGTAAGAATACAAAACTGGTTATCGACCAGTATAAATGTTATTTGGACCATTAAACGTTAAAGGGGAACCCACAAAAAATTATGATTTTTTAAATCGTCAAATTTTGATATTTTAACTTTTAGCTTCGATACGATTCTGAGAAGGTATTTACTTTACTATGTTGTGTTATTTTTTATGTCTATTTCTATTTTTTTTCAGCTTTCAATTTTTTTTAACAGTTCATCAAAGCATCACACTTTGTATCTAGTTGAAGACATTACACTTGAAAATTGAAAAAAATTTGTTTGTCCTTCATACATGGGAAAAATTCCCAAAATTATTTTGATTTTTAAAATCAATAAATTTCAACTTTATTTAATCTTTTTTTTTTTTAACTTATAACTTTTGAAAAATGAACGAAACAAATTTTTTTTTATAAATACCTAACATTTATAAATATTTATATTTAATACATTACATTTGGTATAGATTTTTTTAAATCTGACCCTTTACTTTGCTAACGGGGGGGGGTAGGGAGTGGTTTGGTTCAAAGTAGCAGCTTTTACATAAAAATTTTTTGTAAAATTTTAATCACTGTCAGATATCATTGTACTTGATCCAACTATGCCACGTCACCACTGTGTCACGACCCCCCTGTGCTGGGTTTTTTTACTTATAACTGTTACAACTACTAGAAAAATGGAAAAACTGCAAAAATATTCTGTGTATAATAAGTGCAACTTTTTTATTATACAGGTGTATCACAAGTACAAGACAATTAATTTTTATTATACAGGACGTATTACGAGGGACGTCCAGAAAGTACATACAAGGCTTACCAAAAATACACAAAACAATTTTATTTAAAAAAAATTACATAGCATAAAAGGTATATCTAATCATTTTTCAATATAACCGCCATTAAGTTCCAAACACTTATGGTAACGTGGGATGAGTTTTTGTATGCCAGCCTTGTATTCCGTTCGCGCAATCTCCTGTAGCCATGTGGTCGTATAATGTTTGAGGTCCTCATCATCGTCGAATCTTTTACCTCCCAAAGCTTCCTTCAACTTAGTGAAGAGATGGTAATCGGTGAGGGCCAAGTCAGAATTGTAAGGACCGTCGAATTTAACAACATTGTCTTAACATGATGCGATAGTGCCATTTCGCTCCAAATATAGATGTGCATAAATAATACTTAAATCGTATATCATCGTGATTTTTTTGATGACGTACCAGTCCATGTTTGAATGCAAACACTTGTTACAAGAAAACATTTTTAAGACGTTTAACTGAAACAACACTATTAATTTTATTTGAGTAATAATCCGTATTTTATGCGAAAATACTCATTATATGTAACAGAATCAATTTTCGGCGAATCACAAAACATATATCCTCCTATACTAACCCATTCCTGTCACAATTAATCATTTCTATCTAATAATTTTTTATTAATTACAATTTAATAAGTAATTTCTAATAAACTAATTTTTTTTTCATAGTATATGCCCCCTTCTTATATGGTAGTGTTCCNAGTATTTGCCCCCTTCTTATATGGTAGTGTTTTCCTACATATAGATTTACTCTTAACCTCCCATACTTGTGATATCTTCATTACTAGCTAAGAGAGAGGGAGAGCCCCTCAATTATACTCTTAACCTTTCATTATGCTATTAAGAAAAAAAATTATATAATTAAAATAGCATTCAAAAGTTATTACTTGATAATGTTTTTATAGGAATAACACTATCTGATAAAAATATAATTCAACGAAATATCAAAAGACACATATATATTCAGTTTTACATTTGTAAATAATAAGATAAAAGTATATGATAAACCACATGTTAAATTATAATTAACATCTATAAATTAAAAAATTATGTTTTAGTAATCATTTAAAGATTTCAAAATAATTATGTATATTGTGGTTAATTATAAAACATTAATGCTAGATTATAATAATGTTATTATTTTTAATGATTTTCTATTTGTATCAGCGTTGAAGGCTCTTTATCTATTACTTTAAATTCCAATTCTAAAATTATAAATATATTAATAAGACATTATATTGATATTTTAATTAATATTTTGTTTTTTAATACCTAGTTCAAATAGCTCATCCGGTGTTGGTACAACCGTTTCTTCGGTAATTGGATCAAATTTAAATCCGAGTTGAAAATATTTTTCTATAACTACTGTTTTGATATAATCCTGAATTTTCCTGATTAGGAATTTGAAATATACTAATTTTGAGTCTCTGAAATGAATGGCTTCATATTCTTGAAGCCATTCATCCGATAAATAATTCTTATGAAAAGGTTTAAATTTACAATACAATAAAGTATCAATATTTATATTCATTATTATACTATTAAAACATAAATATATAGTATTTAATGTCAAATTGTATGTATATATATCATCTCGTGATAGAGTTTGTTCCTTTAATGTCTCAAAAATATCTTCCATTCTCTCTAATGAATCACTTAAAATGTATTTAGTTCTTCGACTAGACATCCACGGTCTTATATGTAAAATATCCAAAGCATCCATCGCTCCTTTCATCAATTTTGCCATTGGAACAATTAGTACAGTTATTATTTTTACGAGTTCTTCTGTGAAAATGCATACATTTATTAAGTCGTTCTTTTGCCTAATTTTATCATTACAAATTTGTATAACGTTGCAAATAACTAATAAAAGATTATACATAATTTTTCCGTATGTACATCCAATATATATAGTCAAAGCTCGTATTTTTTTATTACATTTACTACAATGTGTAGGTGTTTCCATCAGTTTTTGTAGGTAGTACAATCTTTTNAAATATACTAATTTTGAGTCTCTGAAATGAATGGCTTCATATTCTTGAAGCCATTCATCCGATAAATAATTCTTATGAAAAGGTTTAAATTTACAATACAATAAAGTATCAATATTTATATTCATTATTATACTATTAAAACATAAATATATAGTATTTAATGTCAAATTGTATGTATATATATCATCTCGTGATAGAGTTTGTTCCTTTAATGTCTCAAAAATATCTTCCATTCTCTCTAATGAATCACTTAAAATGTATTTAGTTCTTCGACTAGACATCCACGGTCTTATATGTAAAATATCCAAAGCATCCATCGCTCCTTTCATCAATTTTGCCATTGGAACAATTAGTACAGTTATTATTTTTACGAGTTCTTCTGTGAAAATGCATACATTTATTAAGTCGTTCTTTTGCCTAATTTTATCATTACAAATTTGTATAACGTTGCAAATAACTAATAAAAGATTATACATAATTTTTCCGTATGTACATCCAATGTATATAGTCAAAGCTCGTATTTTTTTATTACATTTACTACAATGTGTAGGTGTTTCCATCAGTTTTTGTAGGTAGTACAATCTTTTGTAATAATTTATACAGTACAAATCGTTTAAATTTGTCCATCCTGAATACATAAATAACTTGTCTATCATATCTCTGTGTTTTATTGTACTTGTATCTGCTTTTGTATACAAAATCACACAGGATAATACTAAACTTAACTCGTAAAGTTTTAAGAAAGACATTGTAATAAATATGCATACAATTTTTTTATTAAAATAAAACTAGACTAAATGGCAGATGATACGTATTATTATGTTCTATATTTATAAATAATAAAATAAATATTAAAAAAAAATTTTTTGTATTACAATTAAATACTTTTAATTTATTATTTAAGTATTTTTACACTAGCTAAAAATTTAATGGTAGATAATAAACTTATTTTTCTAAAATTAACTAAATATAGATATGTAATAGTTTTCAAAAAATAATATTTAATAAAATTTTACATAAAGTTACATACTTTTCATACATTTTTAAAGTAATCGCTAAAATTAATCTAATTTATTCAATATTTTTCTTGAATTTGCTCTTATTTATAGACAGGATTCTCATAATAACCCTATAAATTAAAAATAATCTTGATAATTTTTTTATGATTTCATTTAGAATATGTATTTTTCTTCGACGTTTGTGTAATTACTTACATGATTAGCATTTACTGAGTTAACATTTTTTGCCATTATACTATATTTAAAACATAAATCATCATTATTCATTACATTGATTGTTGCCTTATGGTTTTCAATACATTTAGGTAACTTAATATATGAATAACCACCAAGCGGAGTGAATTTATATACATAGAGTAATAATCCATTGACTGTATCCATTGTGAAATTCAATACCATACCACAGTGATCTTATGTTCATACAATAATTTAGCAAACTCTTCGTCGATTATACTACTCTAATCGTTTATATCACCAATAACGAGTGAACGGACAGACGTTTTAAAAGACCAATTTTCTTAAATTATTGTGTCTGACACGATGTATATACTTTCAAGTTTAAGCCCAAATTTAATCCCATTTTCAGAGACTAACTCCACCAATAAGTTAATTAATTCTGGTTTTGTCTCGTCAAAAAATTGCTGATATTGAGGACATAAATTCAAATTCGGCGATTATTATAGTAATTCGATGTATGGGTTATAACACTTGGTCTCAGTTGTTGTTGTTAATCTCGTTACAGTATTTAATTTTTTTATTATTAGCAACTGATAAAAAAATATACATATACATATCATCGTATTTGATTTAGACAATTATTTTAAAATAAAATGAACCAAAAAGTTACTCACTGTGTTTATATAAATGTTTTTTTAGATCTCCTAGATACTTAAATCCACTTGACAAACTGAATATGGGTGACGGATATCGGTGTGGGTTTTTTCGTGACGTCTCAAATTTTGCATTAATGTAAAAGATTTTGTGCACCTACCACAGAAATACATTTTTAACTAGGATTATTTAAAATCAGGCAGTTAATAATTAAAATTAAGCAGTTATAAATTAAAATAAAGCACTTAAAAATTAGATTTAGAATATTATTATTATTATTATTATGTTAGAAGCTATAAGACTAGTAATGGTAAACTAAACATTAAAATAAGAGCTGGAAGATTAATTTAACCAAACTCATATAAATGCTTAAAGACTACTATAATTAAACCTAACACTACTAATAAATTTGATAATAATAAACTATTACTATGATACTACTTGAAATAGTTATTAAAAAAAAATTTATAATAAATATAAAGTCGGGAAAAATAATGTCTGTCTATATGTGCGTGTGTGTGTTAAGCGATAAATGATAACTTTATGAATTAGAGTAAAAACTCGGTTTACAGTAAGAAAATTGCATCTGACCTATCATATACATTCAGGTCATTTTTATAGTTGACTCGTGGCCATTAGGTGTTGACCAATTACCATCACGTGATTCAATTATTGGTCTATGATTCGTGATTGAATCGATAAAATAAATTGAATCATTAGAGTTCTGTGTCTATAATTAATTTGAAATAATTTATTTATTACATTCACTTTATATAAGTTTTTTTAAATAATACTCACTATTGCTCCTTATTATATTATATTATATTGCACGACAATTGAATTCCTAATTCGTTGTCAAGGTTAATCATTAAATTACCGAAAACTGGCGTGTTGTTTTCTCGAGTTTCATTTTTAATATTAATTAAAATAATAAAAAACTTCTGGCCGCCGTATTCTGGTGTATTCTAAAAGTAATAATTCTTTTTTATGTTACTTTTTAAAATAAGTCAATAAAAGAAACGTAGTTGTTATAAAACACCTAAATCGTGAACCAACTGAATGATACAAAAACCATAAGATGTTGCGTTTTATATGATTTAGCAAGAATAAAATGAGTATACACACACACACAGCCATTATTATTATTATTATTGGATTTACTAAAAAAAATGGTTTAACACGTAAGAAGAAAAATATTATATGTCTAGACCGAATTTTAATAATTAAATTATAATTCAATAACATTGAATTATAATTATGAAAAAGTTATGGAAGTTTCAAATAAAAAAATTTCAAAAATTGCGATTTTTAAATTTGTAATTTTTTTGGAAATTTCCTCTATTTACGGGGATATTTAATTTTTCATTGAATGTATGATCAGATTGTAGGCTTTCTACTAAAATTCATAAAAAATAAAAGGTGATAAATACGTCGTTTATATGCTATATGTATAAATAAAAATTGTTCATTAAATTATTTATAATATTTTAAATATTACACTAAACATATTAAATATCGTGTTTATTTAAGTAAATTACAACCATAATTAAGATTAATTTTATAATTTAATATTGGATTTTATTGTTACACTAATATGTTAAATTAATAAAAATGCATTTTTATATTGAAAAAGTTCAATTAATTTTTTAAAAATCATTTCATCACCATGAACAATTATTTATTTAAAGTATTTAAAAGTATTAAAAGTATTTAAATAAAAATATATTTATATAAGTATAGATTAATAATTCGTAATATATACGATGAATTTATCAATAAGACAAAGTTATAATTATTGTATCGATAGAGTAGTGGCGTATTTACAAATTTGCTCAGGGGGGGGGATGAAATGAATAATTCTCCATAGACTTGTGCGGGCTTCCCCCTCCCCGCCACCCCAGAAAGCCCAAGAAACTAAATAACATAATATCAAAATTTTATTTTTAAAATTCACCAACTTATCACTTAATTAAAACACAATATTATTAAGTTATTATACACATATTATTATGCACTAATTATTTACAAAATACTTCAATTTTTAAATTAACTACAACACAAAATCCAATTTTTTATTTTTTTGAATACTAAGTTCATTTATGACTTCATGTGGTGAAACTTCTATTGTCCGGTGAATTGCCAATAGAGCCAGCCCATTAAGTCTAGTCTAATAATAAAAAAATAAACTATTATTTTAATACTAATTTATAATTGTATTCCAATAATAAATAGAAAATATATTTACTTCTGTCATACTATTCCTAAGATAGGACTTAATCCTTTTTAGGCTGGAAAAGCATCGCTCAGGAGTAGCGGTGGACACAGGCAATGTACAAAATATTTTAAGAAGCGCATGACTATTAGGGTATATTACTTTGTCGCATAGATCTAAAGCATGTAAACCAGATTTGAAAACAATTTTTTCTGTAACTATCTTAGCTCTCCACATCATCAATTCTGCAATACTAAAGTTATGATCAATTATGGAGGAATAAAACTCTGTAAGCTTTAGAAAAGTATTTCTATCCTCTTTTTCGATGATAATACTTGTGGATTTAAAAATACAATTAAATCCTAAAAAATTTAATTATATATAATAGGAACACAATTTCAAATACTAAAAACGTGAATAAATACAGAATAATATATACCTTACATACAATGATTTTGAAACACCTGAAAAATAATTAAGCACATTTTTAAATGATATTTCACCTACTATTGGTATAACTGCGAGAATAATAATTACCTGTTTAGCTTTTTTCCAATTGTTAAATTCTACTAGTACAAGCTGCCCAAGTGGCCGATTTAAAGCTCCACCAGATTTTGAAAAAATAGCACAAAATTTACAAAACGCTCCATTTTTTATTTCAGAATACACAAGCCAAGAAAATTCATCAAGCCATTTCGACTGAAATTTCAGCCCTCTTTTTTATTTTTATCTAACAAAGGATAGTCATATGTTTTAGGGGGTACCCAAACATTCTTAAACGCCTGTAAATAGTTGATTCATTCAAAATGGTGAGTCAGCTTTACCCATACAAAAGTGTATATTTTTGTTGTGGGATGATTTTGTAGTTGTGTATTTAAAAATTATATAATTTAGGTGCATAAAAGCAAGTGTCTCAGTAATTTAATAATGCGTTTATAAGTAATTTTTATTGTTGATAAAACTTATACCTTATGTCTAGTAACTTACTGATAATTTTTCCTCGTCATTTAAACTATGATTGATAAATAAAGCAATATCATTATTTCGCGGAAGCAGAATATTAGTATCACTTATACAATTGGTTTCAATCTTTAAAAAATAAATTTAACATATTTTGATGTATGAAAGTATGAATGCAAAGTACTACAACAAAGCTCTAAGCTGTGAGCGATACAACTAATATTTGTACAATAAATTATACAACTACAAAGTTGTATCACTTCAAAAATATAATAAATAATAAACTTACATTATCATCCTTATTGTTTTCATTCATATTAGTTTCAAATGTTTCAATGTGCGGTAATGCATGAGGAGTGATAAAAACTTTATTTGCGTTACCAGTAGAAATAAAATTATTTTCTGGTGGTGAATTTGAAACTTTCCTTTTGAAAAAATTTAAAATGGATTCTTTATTACTTTTCCCTGTTGAACTAGTATCCATGTTTTACAATCAAACAAAACACATTTACATTAAAACTCACTTAACCCAACAGTAAATTTGAACAACATAACTGTTATTTACACGCGTTTATCGTTTACGTTGCTTCTCAGCACGCTTCACAACTCGTGATCATCAGTGTTACCAAAATTATTTAATATTTAATAAAACAATAGAGGCCTAACTCATAACTGATATCATTTTTAAAAAAAAAAAAAAATTCACTTTTTTTTTTCAATATTGATTTTAACATTCATTTTCATAATTTCGTTCATTCAATAATCAAAAAAATTATTTTAAAAAACCTCCCGGGGGGATATGACCCCCATATCCCCCATCCGTAAATACGCCACTGCGATAGAGTATTTTATTATTTTAATAATATGATCATTGTTTTAATGATGAACAAACCACTACAAATTTTCTCTAGATAGATAGATATCGCATTGATAAATGTATCATAGGATCAATATTAATGATATATTTATCAAATTGAACGATGAATTTATTATTCGTGATTTTTCTCTGGGTGTACGATGTGTTGTTTTTTACTGTTGCCACTTTTTCTCATCATTCACTTGACTGATTTTGATGGACAATATGTCAAAAGATCACAATCGTATTAAGTTGTAGACATTGTCCTAGAAAATTGAAAAAAATTCGCTTGTTCCTTGTATGTGTAAAAATCCCCAAAAATATTTTTATTTTTAAAAGTAATAAATTTCAACTTAATTTAAACTTTTTTTTTAAAAAAACTTTTGAAAATGAACAAAAAAAAAAAAACAAATTTGATACCCTTAAAAGGCATAAGGGATGAACTTAAAAAGTATAACATAGCTAATAATTCAAGAATAATGTGTAACTAAAGGTAACCAAAAAAAAAAAACCCAGCACAGGGGGGTCGTTGCACGGTGGTGACGTAGTATAGTTGAATCAAGTATAATGATATCTGACAGTGATTAAAATCACTATAAAAAAAAACGGTAGCACAGTGGGGTCGCGGCACAGTGTGGACGAGGCATAGATGGGACCAGTATAGATTTAATCTGACAGTGATTAAAATCACTATCATTAGAAACGCTTCGATGCAAATCTGTAGATAGTGTTTAATTTTAAGAGATTGGCAGATTATTTCAAAAGCAACCATAACTCTTCTTCCCTTAATTTTAACCTGATTTATAATTATAATATAAGAATACATAATAATTATAGTAATTAAATTTAGTATGATATTGATTGATTCAATAATATTGTAATTTTTACGGAAATATTATAAAAATAAAAATGAGTTTATATTCATATACTTTTAACACGTATAAAAATTTAAAGGGATTGATGCAATACTTTTTAATAAAAAATTTTTGTTACTTATGAATAAATACAATAGACTACAAGGTATCAGAAATAAAAATATACATTTCTAAATCAATTTTTCGCAATGTTTTCAAATGTGCAATTTAACTTTTTCTATTACTTCTAAGTTTTAATATTATTACTTATTATTAAAAAATAAGTATTTACATATAAAAAAAAAAAATAATGAAGAAAAAAAAAATTGTTTTAAATTAATACTGATTTTGATTATTAATATGTAAAAAATAGGAAAATGACATAGTTAACCTATTTTAGCTTCGATGCGAAGCTGAGAAGGTATTGGTTTTACTAAGATGTGTTTTTTTTTTTTTTTTGTCTGTTACCACTTTTTCTCAGCTCTATCCAACCAATTTCTTTCAATGATACATGAAAAAATCACAAATTGTACCTAGTCGAAAACATTACCCCCAAAAGTTGAAAAAATTTCCAGTAAATGGGTAAAAGTTTAATAATTTTACATTATAATTTATTAATTGTTTAACTCTATTTGTGTGTATTACAACAAATCTATAACATTCCAATTTTTTTGGTAACATATTGTTATATTAATCATTTCTAAAAAAAANCTAATTTTCGAAATTTTTTCAATTTTTTTTACTAAAATGTGCCGTAACATTTTCAAAAATGAACATATCAATATAATTTTTTTTTATATAGATGTGTAATATCATTACCTTTCGTTTGGTATATTTTTTTCATAAATTTAACCCTTAACATGCCCACAAGGAGAGATTTAAAATGACAACTTTTTCAAAAAAAATTAATTTTTTTAACTTAAATTTTGAAAATGTTCCGGAAAGTCTGACACTTTTATATATATCTTAAATTAAAGCTAATGTAATATACTTTATCATGAAAAAAAAAAATTTCGGACTTTATTTTGTCTTCACGGTGAAAATGGCTACCGAATGCTATTTTTGTGTGAAAATTTACGATTTTGTATTTTCCATTTTTAACTTTATTATNCGATTTTATAATTTACATTTTTTACTTTAAAGTGCTATAACTTTTTGAAAAATGTATGGATCAATATAATTTTTTCATGAGAAGTAGTATTTATATACATCTTTCATTCGACATTTTTTTTTTTAATCGGACCATTTTCCTATATACGAGGGGGGTTTAAATCTAAAAAAACCCAACACAGGGGGTCGCGGCACAGTGGTGACGTGGTATAGATGGATCAAGTATAATGATGTCTGACAGTGATTAAAATCACTATCATTAGAAACGCTTCGATGCAAATCTGTAGATAGTGTTTAATTTTATAAAATTGGTGGACTATTCCAAAAGCTCCATGATCTGCTAGTTCATTATTAATATCCTAATTAAGATAAAGTATGTAGATTGAAAAAGGGATTATTAAAAAATATTATTTCTCATAAAAAAATAATGTTGATCCATACACTTTTCAATATGTCATAGCATTATAAAGTTAAAAATGTAAAAAATAAAATCGAGAATTTTCACACAATAATAGCATTCGGTAGCCATTTTCACCGTGAAGATAAAATAAAGTCCGAAATTTTTTTTTTGCATAATAAAGTAAATTACATTAGCTTTAATTTAAGATATATATAAAAGTGTCAGACCTTCCGGAACACTTTCAAAGTTTAAGTTGAAAAAGTTCTACTTTCTATATGCATTTTTTAGATTTGAACCCCCCTCGTATATAGGAAAATGGTCAGATTTAAAAGAACAGTATGTCAAATGAAAGATGTATATAAATACTACTCCTCATGAAAAAATTGTACTGATCCATACATTTTTCAAAAAGTTATAGCATAATAAAGTTAAAAATGTAAAATACAAAATCGAAAATTTTCACACAAAAATAGCATTTGGTAGCCATTTTCACCATGAAGATAAAATAAAGTCCGAAATTTTTTTTTTGCATAATAAAGAACATTACATTAGCTTTAATTTAAGATATATATAAAAGTGTCAGAACTTCCGGAACATTTTCAAAAGTTAAGTTGAAAAAGTAAATTTGTTGTGAAAAAGTTGTAATTTTAAATCCACCCCTGTGGGCAGGTTAAGTGTCAGATTTACAAAAAAAATATACCAAATGATAAGTAAAGACATCAAACATCTATATAAAAAAAATTATATTGATATGTTCATTTTTGAAAAAGTTACGGCAGATTTTAGTAAAAAAAATTGAAAAAATTTCGAAAATTAGCTATTTTTAAATTTGTAATTTTTTTGGAGGTTTCCCCCATTTACGGGGAACGAGGGAA